AACTCTGATAGGCTGCCAATCGGCTATTATCACACATCTGAATAATTAATGCTTCTAAGAAAGAAGGATTTTAAATCGTATGCTGGGCCATATATTAGTGACATAGTGTTATGGCTTAAACGAATAATATTTTAAGTGAATCTTGTATATATATATATATATATATATATATATATATATATATATATGTATATATATATATATAGTTTTTTAAAAAACATGCATTTCTTGTCTAAAGCTATAATAGCTCTACTCGGTGCTTTTATTTCGTTTGATGCTAGCTCTTTTGTTTAGCACCGATTGCCTAACCAGCTTGGTCGAACGTAAGTCAACGAAGCGGATAGGTTTTGAATGCAGACCATGGCCGATGCGTTTTCTGTCGCGTCGACAATTTGAATTTTTCAAGTTTTTGCGGGGAGATCTAGGCGCACAGCCGTTAGCTGGTGGCCTTACACAATACTAGCCTCGCATTGGAAATTCTGTTGTGACTGAATATTGTCCGGCTGATCCGTTGTTTATTATTTATTTCGAACATGACACAGCTTGCGAGAGATACTGAATATTTTTGCTGCAGATACGGAGAGCCGCTGGCGTCTGCTGAAAAATTCTGAATGGCTGGAAGCAAAACCCGCAATTTGTCTCCACGATTATTAATCATGTGAGCAGTTTTCGAAGTTAGCATAATTGTCAAATGGAACACCATGTAATAGCGCAAATAAAAGATACATATTGATGCCATGAAAACGCTTGCCTTTAACGAGTAGTGGATGATAGCTTTTGTCGAAAGCGACATATCTGGTGCGTAAATTAACTTTTTGGGATTCCCTTGGCCTTCACTGGTAAAGCTAAACTTTGTAAAAGGAGGCACAGATGACGGTCATCTTGTATAATTGGCATATAATCCTATAGGGCGTCTTTTCTGCCGAAATGTAAGAGTGTTTGATATGTGGAGTTTGATTGTGCAGATCAGTATAAATGCAGCAAGATTGCACCGGATTATCGTGTCGGAGAGTGTTGCCGATATACAAAACGTGAAATAAAAGAAAACCTGTCAGGGCCGTCTGCGCTGTTGGATAACAAATTTTTCTACAGATGAATCGATAGAAGCGACAGAGCGATATTATGTAAAAAGGCCGCGACTCTAAATAAGCGTCTGCGTCGACACAATTATCAATCGGGCTACATCACGCCCAAATATGATAGCGGATGATGCGCCAGCCAATGAAGACGAAAAGAAGTTTCGGAAGCGCATGATAACATCGATTCTTTCGCGAATCGTTTCTGCCGAGACCTATGCAATTGCGCAAGTCACTCTATGCTTTATTCTTTCGAGCTTACTTTTGCCAGATTTAAGTACGATTCATTCGTATTATTTTACTACCGGCGACTACACCTAATTAGACAAAATCAGACACGGTAAGCGGAACAAAACTCTGTTGGCGGAAAACTTGTTTCTGGATGTGAGGCTCTCTTCCTATGCTTGTATGTGTCTAGTTGAAAAATATCTCTTAAATCCATTACCACCGATAGTAATAATCGCATAGCGTTATCCAAGCTTCAAGGCCGAATCAAGAAGGCTGCCACGCGAACTTCTATGATGTGTAGGTGGTTGCAGCTGGACGATTTGGACGGGGTGAGCATAACCTTTTTTGAATTTGATTTTATCCTGCTCTTGTGTTATTGTAGTATTGATAAACTTTTGGTAAATGAAATCATTTTCAGCGGATTTTAATGAATCAGTCCATCAATCATGCGAATTGTAATGTTGATAAAATGAAGGTTCTGACAAATGGTCTTCATCATTCTTTTGTATTTTCCCTCCAATTAATTCATTGTGGATGCTGTTACGCGTCGTTAGAGCGACAGCCATGCCTACTGCTCCTACAACTATCACCGCAAATCGTTGTATTGTGCCATCGTTTGTGTAAGCGCACTTTGTTGCTATTGTTGGCTCGCTATAATGTGTGAAACACTAGCAGTACTATAAAGTACGTAGGGGTTGTTGTTATTTCATAATGCTATCAGTAAGATCAATAACATTTTCAACATACTGCAATAAGTGTCTACGATGCAAGTCTCAGGAATTACATTTTGTTTAACTTGTGTTCGACAACTTCGCTCAAGGGTTATTCCTTCAACCACAGATTACTGAGTGCAACGGAAGTAACAAATACAAATAGCCGAGAAAGAAAGTTGCGAACAAAGCTTGTTTCCAATAGCAGAATCCAGTGGCTTTTACTTGCATGACCCAATGAATTCTTTTCATCAGTCGCATAACCATGACGCTGGCTACAAAAAGTCCAGTTGAGAGTTCTTGTAATGACAAAATCACTACGTGTGGGCTACTACGTATCATAGTTATATCATCTGGAGTGTTCTAGTACTCATCAGATCATACATTTCAATTTTTCTTTAAGAATAGTTACTGCCGCTTTCGGTTAGGGTTGTTTTAGGCAAAGTTTTTACACTCTATATCTGAGATAGGACGCAATGCTTATAAGACAATAGACAACTTAAACACAAACGTGACAAATAAAATAACGCTTTTAATATATCAAAGGCAAACGCTAAGCACTGTATCGTCCTTTTGCTCGTGTGAGAAGCTCTTCATAGTTCGGGTCAGTCACTTGAAATAGCGTTTCCATAGCCCATAAAGAGGTTTGAGGGCAGGAAGGAGGGCCCCTGAGTCTAAGATTTTCGGTACTGAGCAAAACAAAGAAGCTAAACAAATTATATCGGGATGAATATACACACAACAGAACTGTTTAACACCTACTTGAATAACACGGCGTTCTTGTTGTTTCTGCTGATGGTACACTAAGAGTATACATGACAAAAATAGCGTCCTTTTCCCTAAGATATTTACTTAACGATACAAGCACTTTCTTAACAACCAAAGTAAACGTATTCAATCAAACATAGACAAAAAAGCAAAGTTTTTCGTAGCATAACAAAGTTGACCATTCGTTATCATCGCAAGCACTTTAGGTGCTCATTTTATATCGAATTTACTGAGCATAAATTGAAAAACAGGTAATTATCACAGGTAACTATAACAATAAGTTTTGCGTTGTGTTCTCTTATCAGGGTAGAGGCGCCGTTAATATTAGTAATTTAACGAAACCAGTATGTAAAATTGCAATAGAAAAAGACATTTCTCGGTATTTGTATCCCTTACAATGACCAACTGATACTATCCTCTTTTATTTATCTTCATCTATTCGCGTCCTGGCCATTGAAGCTTATTTAGTTCATGATGATTCTATTTGCTGAATGGGGTAGTATGAAGATTTAAACCTTTTCCTTACGACAGAAGGACGCCCCCTTATACCATATTTATTCACCGAAGTCTTGGTCCTCGGCTTCCGGTTTCGTTTTTCAAGGCTTTCATGTAATCAATGTAATCCCGCGATTCAGTATAGTTCTTTCATCGAAAGAAGATTCGATTGCCGGTGATATTGCTCCTCTCCACTCGTCAATGAGCCGTCGGTTACTTCTACAATGAGTAACAGCAGAATGAAAAAAAGTTACCTGTTGTTTCTCTTGTATAGTATGGTTGTGTCAACACTGGTAATACCTAAGTGACGACAAGAAATGCTAGCGTCATTTTGTAGTTCCACACTTACTGTATATGCAGGACGAAGTCAATGCAGTTGCACATTACTACATACGTGATCATAGTTGAATCTTTCTTGGATCGTAGCGGCTTGAACGCATTTGAGGCATGCGCGAGGCTATTATCACGTATCTATATACCTATGTATTTTTCAAAACACGACAATATTTAAATGTGTTGTGTACAATATTTAGGGACTTAGGTCTGCAAAAAGGTATCCCGAACCTTGCCTCAGTGTTGATATCTTAGGCAACTCCTTTGCAATTGGTGCAAAACTAACTGAATGAACAGTCAGTTTCTGCTCAAGAGACCCTCTCGTGCCGCCACGGTATGAGAATTCATTTAGAAAATAAACTAGACATCTATCTCTAGTAAGCAGAAAAACTAATCGTCTTGCATTTATCCTGAAAAACGTTTAACTGTGTACATGACTACTTTGAGCATTTTTTAAAGTATTCAGGTGAATTTTCTGAATTTTTCGTCCGGTACCTCCGCTAATCGTTTGTCCTGCCGAATGGATCTCAGCACAAAGCAAAAAAAAACAAAATGAAAAACTATTTAGAAAGCCGAAAGTGTCGCTGCTTGGCGATAGATTTTATCAGCATAGCTGCACCACGGACGTGACTGTATGAGATTGGCCTCATGTTTTTCTTTTGTTTGGAGTTGTTAATGATCTAAAAGAAAACTAGATCAAGGGTTGCTAAGGGTCAGATATACCTTTATACAACTTTGTATAATATTCGTATACTGTTTTGTTCTTTTTCATATGAATGAGTGACAACTATTTGGAGGCTATGTGAGTTCGCAGTGAGCGTTGGTGATGCGCCGATATTAGAAAACGTTTTCTTAGGGGAATTGTTGACCATGTGTTAATTTATACAAAGGTTAAGTGGGTGATACAAAAGGAATAGACAATTTAGTAGGAGTACAAACAAATTCAGATAACCTTAATGAGTGTGATTTTGGCTTTGAGATGAAAGTTACATGTATTTAATACTAAAGCCATCGTTCTCATCGTAGTAAGTTTATTGCCCAACAAATTAATTGACCGAAAACAAAAAATAAGGGGGAAGCTAATTATTAATCGTTAACCTAGCTAGCTAGCTAGCTAACATTCTAGTGGGTTCTTTGTAAAGTCAGACTACACCGAAATAGTAATATATTATCGAATTTCACTGACAAGGTGAAATCCACTAAACTAGCGGCGAAAAAAAGAAAGAAAATTACAGCTGAGCTAGTCAAAGAAGTATAATCACGTAGTCGTTAGGAACTGTTTGGTTAAAGGGTCTATTTTTGCAAATAAAAACATAATAATACTCATGTAATGCGTAAAATGAGTGCTCAAATGCGTGCTGACGTATTTTTCGTTTCGTCTAAATTTTAGCTGCTTAGCGCTATCCGATGATGGCGGACGTTCGGTGGATTCTGACGAACAAGAAATCATTAAGCAAGCGCTTATGATTAAGCGCTCAGTCAACCGGAAACGTCTCGGCCCCGTGAATTACAAGGCTCGATGGTTCGTCTTGACCAAAAGTTGCCTCACCTACTATGAGGGCACCCTCGAGGTATGTTGTTAAAGTCAGAAAGCTAAAACTTCACACAGGCTTTTATAGAATAGAATGCAATCACTCATATTAGGCATGCTTTCACATTACATGCGGTTATGTCTTTCCGACAACATAAACGCAGACGAGTCAGAAAGTTTAGCTAAAAGATTCGTTTCGAGCACAGTTTCGTAATTGTGCATGGCATATGTGACCTTTGTCTTATACCGAATATAGCAGCCATTAAGCTAACAAATAGGTTCGTTGAAAAATATTTAAAGAGCTCGGATAGGTACCCAATCGCTCGAGCTACTTCAACTGCATCTTCAATTGCTCGAACAATCAAAACATGAACATATCGTGGCATTCCCTTTTTACAGAACTACTCGTATCCATAACCGCTCTGCAGGTATAGTAACACTGCCAGATATATATGTAATGCGACGTTGCCCATCGCAATGTGTTTTTGCGTTCTTTTAAAGTAACGCGATTTGAAAGTCAAAGTTTCTGGATAGGAATCCTTCAAAAGGAACGGCTCATCTTTCCCGAAATCAGTGGTCGAAGTGATTCTATATGTAGCCAATAATGACCTGTATAATACTGTGAATAAACAGCCATAATTGTGAACATGTTCTTATATGCTTAAATCTGCATTCCAACTTACAAATGAAGTTAGTCGTCTAACTTGTTAGGTAGTCCACCGAAAAACACAGTGCATGCTTTCGCGCGTACCTCCGAGCCGCTTTACGTTGTTAACCAAAACGGGTAAACGTTAACCCGTTTGTCCCATTGTCATATTTCAATTATTGTTGTACTTCAATTGGATTGGTGCTTATTTAGAAGGCGTTATACCTTTTTGTTTATTGCTCCCTTCCGCTGATTTTTTTACGCGTTCTTTGCTTTATAAGGTCGTTATAACCATTTTTTCGGATACAAGAGCTTACCTTACTTTTAAAGCTGTAGTGATAAATGGAAAAGTAAATTCCTCCATACTCTTTGTTCGACACTCAGCCAATTAAAAAAATTCCGAGATAAATGTGATGTGCATGATGAGGACTTCCGACTGACAGTACGATTCAAAAGAGGTTTGTTATGTTCAGAAATGGCGTTTGCACTCTAAAAAAAGGTACTCCACTAAACCTTTTGAGTTTGATAGGGATTATCTGGAGGCACTTTGGAAGATAAGCCTTGACATTAGCAACGATTGGAGTCGTAAGTCCTTCTCCTTTTCACCTGACCGTTGCGCGTCTTAATCTTTAAATGTTTGGTAAATCGTCGAAGTCCAAATAAAAAACAAGTTTTTCAAACGCACAAATACGCCATTCTACCACGTGCAAATGAAACATAGGTAAAAAAACGATATAAACAGAAACGGCTTTCGTTGTTCAACAGATATACAAATTTTCGGTATTATGAAGGTGTTAGCTGTGCTGCGGTGACCACCACTTTATTTAAGGACGAATTGCACAAGTGAAGGGTTCACTAAGGTCTGTCTTATATTTCGAAATTTAATAAATTCAACTGAGAGTCGGAGCTTCTATAACCAGAATTATATCTTTCCTACTAATGATAAATATGTTTATGTTGAATATAGCGTAAATCACTGTTATATTTTGCTCAACTGTATGTTTTCATGTATATAATAATTATATGATCGGTCTCTTCACTCATTGCCGGAAACTATAGGGTTTAGGAAAAGTGGGTTTGGTCATAAATTGCCAGTAAGCTGATGGTGCGAGGTTCAGCTGTCACTGTTTTTGAGAATTCGAGACTAACTTTTATTTTCTCAATGTTATGGCATTACGCGACCCATCTCAAGGTTTAAGGAAAAGTATCTATCATATGATAGATACTTTTCCTTGTCTTTCAAGTTGGTACAGACGGCGTAACCTAAACTATTACTGCTATTTATAGGGATATTGACAGTACAACATTTAGTACGTGTTGTGGAAGCAGTTAAAACAACATTTTGTAAAACGTCTGAATAGATCAATCTCAAAGCACACTGCGACAGGCAAGCAAATATACAGATCTAAATATGCAAATGTATAGGCAGATAGATGATAAGGTTTTTGTAGGTGGCACGTAAAAACCGGTTTCTTGCAACTGAGTTATGAATCAAATCATGTGCATATCCGGGATATTTTGAACCAATTCGCAAAAGCCTAACGCGTGGGAGAGGCGATCTCAGTAGCAGAAAGTCTGAGGAGTCAGAAATTCGGAATGATTATCAGCAATGACAAATTACTTATATTATTCTTTTTACCTTATTGAATCTACGCAATGTTTGGCATCTAAAAGCCATGGGTCAGAGGTGCGGTGCCAAGGTTTACAAACATTATTATAATTTACTAAACAATCTTCTTGCAAAATATAATTCGAAGTGATGAGGATGGTAAGTTAGCGAAGTGGACATCGTGATTTCGAAAGTCTATTGTACACGTCTAGTACGTAACATCCATTTCAACAGATGACGATCAATGAAAAGATCGACCACTTAACCTTAACGCTAACAAACTGATGCATACTTACCAGTCTTCTTCGTGGCTGATAATTCAGTGAAATATTTGCTAATAAACTGCAGTTAATTGGCAGTACTTTAAAATGTAGCAGTAGTTAAAAATGGAGTCATTTGCCGTAGCTGCATATTCTTACTTCAACATCTTCAATACCAAATCTGTGAAGGTCTTTTTCCATATATGAATATGCTTACATGTTTATATGCAATGGATATATACATGCGTTTTTTTACGTATATTTTCAATAAGGATAAGAAGAAAGTCTGTTTTTGTTCGGCATAGAGAGGATTCTGAGGCGACAATTCGATATCTGGATTGAAAGTTCAATAGCTAAATATAAGTCTTATTACAGTACATGGTATTTTGCTTGCTTGTTTGCTTTAATAAAAGCTAAGACTATTTCGAAAATTTCGCATTCGTAAATAGAGCCTCTTGTTAATAAATGAAAAGCACAATAATTAATTATACTGAATCACTAATTATGAGGCTCTAACCTAACAACATGCATTACCAGCGTCCAGCAACGAACTATTAACCGGTCTGCTAGAAAGCATCATATCCGAAAGCCGATTATCGCTGAAAATGCATTTATTGTAGCGATATATATTTTCGGCATCTGTTTCACTCTACCACGTTACCGCGCGAATGCCGTTATCTTTTATCCTACCTGAAAGTAGCTTACGTTGTCTCTGCTGAGAACGTCAATGGCCCTGTGTCGATCCTAAAGGATGGACTCAGTCTTTTGAGGGACCTGGGCTGTCATGTGACGAGTTGGAGAAAGCACAAGTGCGGTAGTTTATGCTCACCAAAACGCACAAAAAGGGAACACCGCTGGCTGGATTTATTGTGTGTGAACCAGTTGAAGACCTCGCGACTCAACAAATATTGTCGCTGACGAATGCCACTTCATGTCTTGGATTGAGATAGGTCAACTCCTATACGTTCCACGCGTTCGATGGTTTCGTTTAAATAAAAAAAAAACCGGCCCCAGGCCGGCAGTACTTACCTCGATTCGTACCTCTATGGACAAGTCTTTCCAGGAATGCTCTAGAATGAGGGTCTACTTGTTAGAGCTCTTCGTGAAGTCAGAAAAGCCCTTTGATGAGAAATAGTTCATACCAAAGTAACGTTTGCCTTTAAAAGATCATACATGGATTTAGGTTTGGCGAAATCCCGTTCAGACCGGTGATAATAAGATGTCAGCCCTAGAAAACTGTCGTAGCTGTGGAACAGTAGTAGAAGACGTTAGGACACCTATCGCCGTAACCTTCGTTGGGTAAAAAAAAAGAGATTTCATGACCGAAATGGGTGGCCTCCCCCATGTGAAGTGACGAGTGCTACAGGTGTTATACAAAAGCACTAAAGACAGAGAAGCTTCTCGGAGGTAGTTTTTCGAAACCCTATGATAATACAATGATGTCGTTAAATAACTCAGGACTCGATTCATCAACCGCTGGTACGCCGCTAGGACGTAGGCCAATTTGCATCGCATCCACTATTATTAATGCAGACGACCTGATATTTTTCCTTGTCAGCGAATGCAATGATGATTTGCCAATAGCCATTCGTCAGGTCCAAAATAAGAAACGTTTTCTCTATCTTGTCCGAGGCAAGGGAAAGGTTCTCCTTAATTGCATTCAGCTTCTGGTAATCTATGATAAGATCAAATCGAACCTTGGTTTTTCCTCACCAAAGCGATCGGAAAATCTTTCCCGTACGTATCTAAATAAAAACAAATATGTTAGCTAATTTTTTTACAAGTGTTTGAAGTGTTATTCCTGATGATCATGTTTTTTCGACACGGTCACCATTCACCGCAATTACTCACTAATGTTTTTAAAGTTTTCGTTCTTTATTCCGCAAATAGCTTTTTGTTAGTAACTTTGCATCAAGTGATTTTAACAGGTGACTGGAGTGCGCTACATACAACGGATTCCTAATTTAAAAATTAAATTCAGGGCGCTAGCAAGCAGAAACTCTAAAAGCTCAAAACCGCCAAGAGGTCCACAACACATAAAGAGACCAATCATTAATGATTATCTGAGCGACCAGTTAACAGTTCGGATTTTTCTCTCCAAAACGCCCATGTAGAAAATCCAGGTGCATCAAAAGTCGCTGGTTGAGCCATTTTAATGTGCTCCAATGTGCTATTAAGCCCCTAAGTTTTAAAGCTACTGAAAACACTCCAGTTTGCCTCATTGAACCCTTACTCGAATTTTTAAGAAGTTATATGAACTTTGGCAATAATTGACGCTATCGACATCGGGCAAACAAAACGTTTTGATTTTGATGCAGACTCTTCTAACGCGAAACGAGTAAATAATAGCTCATTTTTGTTAAAACTGCAAAAACGACGCATTGTCTTCTACCATAACGAGTTCGCTGCTTTGTTCTAAAGAGAACAGACTTTCATCAAGTATCAAGAATGGCGAACGTATGCAAAGTCTATTCGAAGTTTTTACTACTATGTGGAGTTCTACAACTTTTAAAATAGAACAGGTAATACTGCCTCTATGATACACTCCACTTGATTATTAATTTTTACGTTTTTTTTTCACCTTTTTTAAATTTAAGAAACGAGGTCGTGAGAAAGGAAGAATTCCTTTGTCTTCGATTCGTCTTATCGAATACGTCAATGATGAGGCCATCGACAAGAAATACGTCTTTCAGGTAATACATACAATGATCTTCTACAAAAAGTTCATTCAAGATGAACTGTTAGGTTTTTGGCGTCGAAATACTAGGTTTAAGTATGATTTATAACGTTAAACAGATGTTCGTAGACATTGGAAAAACGGATAAAATAATGAATTGGGTCCAACCAAACTTCCGGCACACAGACCTTAAACAGATAGTTTTAGAATATTCAGGATAAAGTCGAGTTCAGTCCTATGGTTCAGATAAATAGTCGAGCTTCCTTTGCAGATCGGATTTGAAGCAGAGCATATATTATACGTGGTTGCATCTTCTGCCGAGCAAAGAGACGAGTGGATCTGCGCTCTACGAAAGTGTAAGTTAATAATTATTCATTCTTTGGCCTCTTGTCTTGGACCCTGTAAGCTATACAGAAGGGTGGTGGCCATTTCAAACGATCCTATAATATAAAAAATTGACACAGAGATGCACTTATATATTATTATTATATATTATGTATTTTCATTTAACCATTGTTATATTTTAATAAGTATAGAAGCTGTACAATCTAAAGCAATATCTAAATAACAATACCAGACGTGAATTTCAAAACATTTGCTTATTAGGCTAGTTAAATTCATTGATGTGCTTATATTGCTGGTTGACACTTAATAAAGGTGCTCAATGGCATATGTAGAGTTTGCTACTCACTTTACTTTACTTTTTTTATAAAATTAAACATATGAAACATGTATTGAATGACAAGGAAAAAAAAGATTGTTTTATGGTACCTTTGTATAGTTTGCACCGATAATCAGTGCCTAGTAGACAAATATCACGCCAAATTGTGGTCCGGTTCGAAATGGGCTTGCTGCGGAGATCCTTCGAGAAGTTCGTGTGGTTGTCAACCCACCTGGGTCACTAAGCCGCTCACATCGTTCTTCAAAAACAAACTCAACAGGTTTGTCGCCGTAGTATTAGTAGTACGACGCATCATTCGTTATTCAATAACTTTCTTCTCAAATAGTGTTTCGGCTTTCCTTATTACAATTTATGATTTACCATAATACGGAAACTTCAACGGAAAAGCAAACGTGAGGTATAATATTTACACACATGCGCGTATAGCATATAGCTGTTTTTGGTAGCCCGCAGAAGCACCAGCCCAATGGGCTGATCTACGGACACATTAGTATTTTGCTATAGATAGCATCTTGCCAAAAAGATGTAATGCCGATAAGTAACTCAATAGCTGAGGTTAACTCAACAAGTATGAAGGGATACATTAATTCAAAATTTTTTTTTTAATATTAAGTACCGCAGCTTGAATTTTTACATTTTTAATTTAATTTAAATAAAAAGCAAACACGTTTGGTTTCCGTTCCTGCTTGAACGGGTCAAGGTATTCATTTCATATTCAAGTATGTGTAACAGATTAATTAAGGTATTAGGTATGCAATACAGAAAATTATGATTTTGATTATCTAATTGAGTTCGAATAAGCACACGTGACCCGCTATAGTGTTAATAAGTGCTAGTCATCTTTGTGCACTCCCTACAGTTCGTCTCGCTCATCGGCAAGTTGTTCTAGTCCGTCGAAAAAAAATGTACATACCGTCGAATCGATGGGCCTGATTCAGAGGAGTGGTAGTAACTCATCGCTTGACGTCACCCTTCCTCGCGCACATCATCTCTCTCGCAAAAAGGTTCGAAAGTAAAAACGTAGTCATTAAAACCCTTATAACTTAAGCATTAGCAGCTGCTTTTATGAGACTAGAAAGTTATATACACTATAAGAAAGATATTTTTTTCTAGCTCTCTTATGAGCATGGTTCGCATATGGGTATAGCCGAAAAATTATCCTGAGGATTAAATAAGCAATCAGTCGACTAATGAGTAGTTTGAATTCTGAATTAAACATGTAATTGCCGTAGATAAAGGCCGCAGACCGTCAGTAGTGACGTTTCTAACGAATTTCAATACGATTTGATGGCCAACCTATAGGAGCAACATATAGTTCGGGTTTAGATGCCCCCGTCTATATAGGCGATGCCTACTGGCCGGTTGTGTGATCATGACATTGCTCGTAGTACCTCATAGTGAATGATTCATCAAACACTAAGATGAAACCTGAGCGATTTTGGCTGATTCTAAACACGTTTTCATTCTAGCGTACAGTTATATGAAGCTAATTTTTTTCTTAAATCCTGCTCATCTGATCCGACCTCTTAATTTCTGGAAATCTAAATTTTGCAGCGACCACGACAGATAGATGTTTAAGCATACATTGGTTTGGACGAGACTTTTTCGTTGCCCGTATGATTTTAGGTGAGCGAGTCGCTACGGGACGGAATTGGTGAAGGCAACAGCAATATGTCTTCTCTTGAAAACGCTACAAAGCTTGCACTCATCATGGCTTACAACCAGGAGAATAAAAACGGAAGCAGCAGCAACAATAACAACTGGTCATCAGTTAGCAGCAATCACCATAACGTACATCACCAAAACGGTCATAACAACAACAGTAATAATAACAACAGCAGCAGCAGCAGCAGCAGCAACAACAACAACAACAATGTTAACAACGCCAACAACAATAATCACCACTACAGCAGCTCGTCTTCTGCTAGCTCAACATCAGCGCGAAATACGGCTGCTACCATCGGCAACAATGTAGGATCGACTACCAACGGAAGCTCAAGCGCGACTCGTAAAACGGTTATCGCATTATTCGATTTTGAAGCACAAGAAGATGGCGATCTCTCGCTGAAGCGGGGCGAAGAGTATGAGGTTATGGATGATTCCGGAGAACATTGGTGGCAGGTACATTCGACCAAACGAGTCAAATACCTTTAAATGTATGAAAAAAGTTTAAAAAAGGACCGTTTCGATTTTCTTACGGATTTCTTTTCAGTTCACAAGAACGCATCGACTGCGTAAAATTACAAATGGAACAAATGCATTTTATAAAAAAGCAAAAAAAATCATGAAATTCACTTTCAATGAAATAAAATGTAACCTCTCGAACAATAATAAATTCATAACTATTGCAACGTACACAAATACATTTTCTATTCCATATACACTTATTTATATTGGTTATACAACACTAGCGTTCAAATGTTGTCTAAACCAATCGTAGGTGCGGAGCGCGTCTGGAGAAAGCGGTTATATTCCATCGAATTATGTTCAAGAGCAGACGGTGAAAGGCCTGTGGCGTCACGAGTGGTACGCGGGTGACATGTCACGGCAAAAGGCCGAAGTCCTATTAAGGCAGGAAGGTCGTGAAGGATGCTTCGTGATCAGAAATTCGTCAACTAATGGAATGTACACCCTCTCGCTGTTTACAAAAATGTAAGTAATGTCACGCAGTCGTTAAGCACAAAACCGAAATCGTATTGGGTTAGGGTAAATTACATTCTATTTGCGCTGAATTTGAAACCCAGCTTCACTCAAAAGGCAATGAGCAGTTAAGATGTCACCTCGAGTTTGGCAGCTAATACCTAACGGACTAAATCGTTATCAAGTCATATGGAAAACAAGCGTCTAAATTCATTTATCTCACCAGTAATCAAACAATGTGTAGAAAGTGTGTTAGATACTGCCAACCTGCTTTTTCACAACTGCGGAGAACCTGTCAGATATACTCTGTTATGTAAGCTTAAAAATTAATTCGATTGGGCGGATGTTTGAGTACGTGTACAGCAGCTAAAACCAGTTGCTTTTAACAAACAGTTTAATAAATGGAAATCTTTTTGCCTATTTAGAAGCATAAAGAAGAACAATTTCATAACAAATACTTCTAACATTATGAATGCATAGCCCCGGCCCCCAGGTGAAGCACTATCACGTTAAAAGCAATGCGTCTGGCGAACTTTACCTTAGCGAAAGACATCGCTTCAAATCCCTTGAGGAACTAGTCTTTTATCACAAGCACGATTCTGGTGGGCTCGCTACACGGCTTAAATTCGCGCCGGCCTCCCTACAAAAAATGCAACAGAGGCAACAGGCAGGCTCATCGAACGGAATTAGCTCAGGTAAATTTATATGTGACAGACTGTTTTATATATCAATTTATTGATAATTTTTAGTACATTCATTGCAGCGGTGCTTGTAACGCGGTGTAACAAAAATAACATCGTGTCTGTGGATCATTTGTAAATGAAACAGACGAACAAATCATGTTTAATAACGTTAAATTTATTTTCAGATGAATCGTATCCATCCTGTGTGTAATTTTTTTGCTTACATTCTAATACTATTCGTATTTCTAGAACAATTTTGTAGACGAAAGACCAGATGCTCTAAGCATTTTGCTTTCTGGACCATGATTTTAATGTCATCAGGGCAATAAAGAGTGAGACAACTAGCTCATTTCTTCTGCCGTCGTTTCGCGTGCCCTAATACTGCATATTTTCAAAACAAGTTAAGAATCGATAAATTATCTAGAAGTCTCGTTGTCGGATATCTCGATATGAGAGTATATAATGTCGGATACGGTACTGAGTATAGAGGATGTCGCCTTGATAATTTAAATGATTATGTTGACATTTTAACACGCAGCCTTAGAAGTCACTGTTTGTATATGCATATATTTGGTCTATTCAATTTCGGCTTTTAAGAGCGCAACGGTAGTTCCCTATATTACATATAGTAGACAATTTGCTACTTTCAATTTAGCTATCTTAGAAAAGGCAGTTAGCAAACCTTAATTATTTTAGGCCATATGACAGTTTTTGCAGAGGACAAGCATTTTTGTAATACCACTTTCTACTAAGCACAAACTGCTAATGTTGTATACATAATAATGCCTGCGACAAATGTGTATTGCTTTAATGTTTTATGCGCTTTAAAGCCCTGATCTAATTCATTTTTCTAATGATTCCTTTCTTCGAACAATTTGTTCCATTCTTGTATGTTCGTACACACTGACGTTATAGATAAATGGGAAATTGACCCGTCAGAACTAAGCTTATTGGAAGAGCTGGGCTCTGGCCAGTTTGGAGTGGTTCGTCGAGGACGATGGCGGCAGAGTAAAGACGTTGCTGTGAAAATGATGAAAGAAGGAACTATGAGCGAAGACGATTTTATCGAAGAGGCCAAAGTCATGACGTATGTAGTACACAAGCTAATACCACTGACTGTCTAGCTTTAAAACCGTAGGTGCCTCGTTTGTATTTGGTCGTACGATGCATGCTCCGATCGAGTTTACTTAGACACTTGATGTTAATAAATTCAATTATAACAAAAAAAAATATTTACTATCGAACACAGATTTATTAAAAAATCGCACCCAACGAGTGTTTTTTAAAATTAATATCAGTGTTGTATCGGGTATATGTAAAATTTGACAGCAACGTCGATAACCATTTACTATAAAAAATTATACTTGGGTGACAGTATCACTCGATTCATCAGGCAGTGGAGTACCACATGCAGATAGAACAAAAAAAAAAACTACTTATTTATAATAATATATGCAAGTGGCAACTTCATCACTTGTAATAGATCGAGTCGCTTTTTTCGAAAATCTTTGCATTTTTTTTCTTTTATCTCTTGACCAACAGAAAACTACAACATCCCAATTTGGTGCAATTGTTTGGGGTGTGCTCCAAGCAACGTCCAATACTGATTGTAGCCGAATATATGAGATTTGGTTCTTTACTAAATTACCTGAGACGGCATGAAACTCGGCTTCAAGCACAAAAACCACACGTTCTGCTCGATATGTGCATTCAGGTACGGTTTTTCTTAGAAATTGATCTGCATTTTTATATACGTATGTCTCTATATTAAAAGAAAACTTTTATGCTACAACGATTTTCGCGTTGTTGAAAAAAAACTTTATGTTAAAACAGGAAAATATCCATCGAATTATTGACGGTCACGACTCGATTCATCTTTATGTTCAACCGCAAAATATGATTAATTTCATTCGTTTTATTCTTATGATCTGATTTTTGATGAGAGTTGAGAGATATATATTCTGATTTTAAGCATTTGCGATTGCAGCGGCGAAAAAGGTGCTGGAATAGAATTCAACCGCGAAACTGGTTTTGCAACTTAACGTTTTAAAATAACTTCCTGCAGTAAACAATGGAAACCTTATACACGAAATCTTTGTTACTCGTAGGTGTCTTATATATGTTACTCTTATATACTGTCTTATATATGTGTCGTATATGTTACTGATATGGACAGGTGTGCTCTGGAATGGCCTATCTGGAAATGCATAATTATATACATCGGGATCTCGCCGCAAGGAATTGCCTCGTCGGCGAAGGTAATGTCGTAAAGGTCGCCGATTTCGGACTGGCCAGGTGAGTGCACCCGCACAGGCACAGAAATATGTCAATTGTTGTAATTTTTGCTGATGTTACCTATGCACTAGAACGCCATAGATGCGTACCTGGTACGCACCTTACTGTGACCTATGTATTTTTTTGTCTCTTTCATCAAATGACAAACTAAAGCGTTATTACAACGATCGAATTTTTCAACTATATATGTATATATGTTCTATGGTAATCATAAAAAGAAATCATAATTTTTTTTATTAATACAGATACGTGATTGATGACGAGTACACATCGTCAGGCGGTACTAAATTTCCTATAAAATGGGCGCCTCCGGAGGTCCTTGGATATACGCGCTTTTCCAGCAAATCTGATGTCTGGGCTTATGGTGTCCTTATGTGGGAGGTTAGTCAGTACACGTAGATTTTAAGAAAAATCACTGCATTGTTTAATGAATTTTGTAGTGTCGTATTGTTCCATAGATATATGCAGTAATTGGCGAAACAAATAAAGCCACCTAGAAGTTTCACATATTGATGGGCCTGAAACTAAACATCTGCATGCGATTTTTTCAACTGCTGTGGAAAAAAAGCATTTTCTGATGCTTTATGTGGTGCAACGGCTGTATACTATAATATGTATGAACATTCGGGCTGTTACGCACAATTCGAGTATTCGGTCGCGTCTTCCTCTGTTATGTAGAGACACGAATGGTTTGCAATTATTTATTATCCATCATAAAAGTTTTCATCTACTTGATAACAACGATGATGTTGTATTATATACTGTTTTCATGCGAATTGCAGTGATTTTCGCCTTTTTTCTTTTTCTGATTATTCATTAACTCTCGTAATAGAATTACGAAAAGACTTCACAGAGGTGCAGCGGACTCTAATAGTCATATTCATACAAAAAAACGCGATCGCGGAGAGAAATGGCTGAGTGGATCAGAATGTCGAAGCTTGCCGTTGACGTTGCAGCCGTGGAGGTTAAAGATAACGTGCTGCTGCCATTAAAAAAAATATCGAAAATGACTCACAACGCAACAAGGAGATAGGATCATTCGAATTAAGCTACAAAAGTTCGATTTCTTACGGTCTATTAACTGCATCGTAAGGTTGCAGAGCGGAGTCACTGTGTCCGTAAGGACCCTGCATCGATATGAGAGGTTCTAGCTGTTGGGAATTACTCAGAAACATCGGCTTAACTGTGCACAAACGTATACGCGTTTCAAATTGGTTTCTCAAAAAAAACTTTCTACCATAAAAAACAATAATTAAGTTGAACCGTAGAGAACTGGGAAGAAATCTGTTTTCCAGATGAATCGCAGGTTTTTTATCTTGGAAATGACGCTTAACACGTCTACAGGCGTTCTGCAGAAAATTCTGTCAAAAAATGCAGGTCAAGCATTTTTTTACAGTGTTTACAGTGCAAGAGTACTATATTCCGTCAGTGGATTTACGCAGAAAAGGTAATACAGTGAGGCGATTCAAAAGAAAAATGCTGCCCCAGATACCAAAATGGTATTCGGATAGGAACTATGTACTCATGTATGACGAAGTGAGTCTCTGGGGTATTTATCGCTAATGGTGTTGAAATTCTACCTTGGCTTGGAATTTCACCTGACCTGAATTTAGTCGAAAACGTGTGGCAATATGTCAAAGGCTATGTCAAAACAAGACAGAAGGTCACGAGCAAGAACGGCGGTAGGAGCCGGATGTAACGAAGATTGTGCGAAAATGCTTTCAGAGCTTATCAAATCGAGTCGCGGCAATAACATCAACTACGGATGGGGCAAGCACTAGTCTCAGTAGGTGTACCGCAATTTAAAAATGCTATTCTAGCGATAGTGTCATAATTCGAAAGTCGAGAAAACAATATCGCCGTGGTACGATAATTGCTGTTTAAACGTAATCGAATGCGTGAATTATGTGTAATGGCTCAAATGTTTACACATGTTGTGATGAACAGTCATTATATTACATGTCTCAGCAATGACTTCCCTTCCACAGTGGTTCAAAAATGCATTTCTGGAGGCCGTATCGTTGATGACTTATCCGTACCAAACAGCCTTTGCATAAGATGGATTCAGCTCGGGTACGGAGCAGTCTTCGATGAAATTTGACAGCGTGTGAAATTTCTAAATGACCATATTTGATTGACCAGTATTTATGTAACATGTGAGTGCGTATATACATACAATGTTTACAATAATGTGATATCGTACACATTTTTCTCCTTATAAAATACGTCTTGCTATTCTCGTCATTTCTTATCTGATGCGTGTATTCTTTCTGTGTTTTCTTTCGTTACCAGGTATTCACATGCGGAAAGATCCCGTACGGACGGGCAAGTAACGCCGAAGTGGTAGAGTTTGTTCAGAGAGGCCAGAGGCTGGATAGGCCTAGAACGTGCCCCCGAGATGTCTACAACGTCATGAAGCTCTGCTGGGAAAAGTATGCTTTCCATTCATATCTCACGAGCTATTTATTTATTTATTAGCTACATTTTTTTCTATCTAACCATATTTGCAATCATACCTCTCTTTTTCTGTCCAGAGACGGGTCAGATTAAATTAGTAAGACATCTTAATCTATACTTTGTTAACACTCTGTGCATGTGAATATTAAAAAGCTCGTATATATTATAATGGTGAAAATGCATTAACGAATAAATGTCTACGACTATATAAACGCAGAACAAATAGCTCGTTCCCGCCAGCCGACGACAAAACTTAGCCAATTCGCTTTACTTGGGTGGTAGCACTTTGATTTCATCTTGAACTTTGTTTCGTGCTGGGAGCCAGCCGTCCGATGGAATGTTTAGTAATGATGCTGGGCGAAAAACTTGAAACATAAAGGCTGCAGTAGGATCATTGACGATATGGACACGCTGATAGGCTTAATCGTCGAATACCGAAGCGATTAGACGACATGGGCGTACTATTTGACGATACCCGGTCGAGGAAATAATACCAGAAGCGCGACTGTACTTACGAGAAGCTCCAAGAGTGATTCGGCTCTCGCGCGTATGACTATGTGTAATAGTTTCAAAGAGTATCTCTACGACCGTTTTCCTCTGAAAGAAGTGGAGCCGCCTCGGCCGTTTTTATCGCCACAGGAGTAACGTTTGAACCTTCCCGTATGCTAAAGCACTTCTGGGGGCACTAACTCGAAATGAGGGTGCTCCTGGCTGATGTCGAAATCGCTTACTTTAATTATAGAAGCTTAAGGTAATTTTTACAGCAAGTTAGCATCAGCGTCCGTGAATATCTGCCGAAAAATCCTGACACTCACGCTCACCTAAAAGGGCACAGGTTGCTGTGGCTGTTCTGAGAGGGCATATTGGTTTACCACCGGACGTGCAGTTTATCAAAGGACGGCAAATCAGAGTGGCAAACCTCCAGATATGGTGGCACCGTTAAGCTCGAAGATCACACTGCATGTTTTCTAATTATGTCAGGTAACCCTCAATGTATCGATCCTAGCGCATCCTCAGTGGGCGACGGGGGGCTATTACGGGAAGAACTTAAGATCCATGGGTTCGTCCCCAGTCAGAGTAGTCCTAGGGCATCAAAACCGGTTCTGCAGAAATCAGCCGAGAACTTCGTGTTTTCAATTTCGTAATCGAACATACGTAGACATAATGGAGCCTAAGCGCCATGCAGATATAAATAAAATCGTACGTCGACCAATGGCATGGTGTTTATCGGACAAAGCAGTATAAACTGGAGTAAGTGGGCACGTCCTTAAGTGAGCGTGATGTGAGCTAGTCTGCACGAAAAAAAACTATGTACGCGCGTTTCTAATCAGTCGTTAAAGGATTCGCGAATTTACCGCTTGCAGGGTAAGTATTCACCCTGTTGGGCAGCGCTACGTATTTCAGGATCACGAGAAGCCAGATTGTATGAACCCATTGCAGCGTACTCGTGCCTTCTTGACAGCATTGAAAACCGATAGTTGTGTTATCTGATAATGCTTCTTTTTTTTTGTCGTATCGCATGGAATTCGAACAAATCAGGGGAAGTTCTAGACTGTACAACGTTAATCCACCACCTGCTAGAAAATACTGACCGCGACATTAATACGTCGCGTCGGACAAGCGCGGCCTAGTTATAATTGTGCAAACATAATATAAATTTAGCTAAGAGCGAGTTGATTGTGAAGCATTTGACCCTGTCAGCTAACGGTAAGATTAAGCCAGCTAGCCTCAAGTCTCTTTACTTACCTATTTATCGCATGATTTGTCATCCGTTCACCATTGGTGGGCTTCGCTTTACCTAAGTGATACTAGAGTGACGATAAACAATTCGTTCTTTGATTTTCTAGATTTATTTTTCAAATTATTTTTTTTATTTCGCCGATCACGACAACGTATCAGAGAGCTCTTCCTCCCCTTTGTGCATCTTCATTTTATTCCTCGATTTTCCAGATTTTATATTAGACTTAGAATTTATTTTTTTAATTCTATTTTCTTTTCGTTCATCAACACTGACATCAACCATACATGTAATACGCTAATCGTGTAGTATTAAGTACTACTGGACACTGTTAATTGAGAATTTCGGTAATTGTTTGATTTCGGACGAAGTTACAAACAACAAACATAAGTACTAGCAAACATAAGCACGTTTAGAAATTGCCGCGCAATTACTGAAGTTACAACTTAGGCTTTGTGCAGTAAACTGTAAAACTGTAAAATAACCATCAATGTTATGAATACTCAAAAATGCAATGTTTCATACGATTTTTGTCACTTTTAGTTTGGAGAATGTTTTGTATTTAACCACATTTTTTTTATTCTTCTTCTGCAATAGGTATCCGGAAGGTCGGCCAACATTCCGAGGAGTCAAGGCTCAGCTTGACCGTATTATGGATGACCCAAATTTTTAGCCAAAAATGTGCATTGAAATCTGAGTGCAACAACAACAATAACAAACGGATATGCAAAGGCCGTTGTGGCTTCTGACACAGGTTGAAATCCGAATTTCTTCGAAAAGTCAACGTTTTCTTCGAGCTCATAGAAACAATACGAGAAATAAGAATACGGAAAAACGAATCAAATAATATCAACAACAAGAAGAGAAAATAAATACATAACGTTACAATACATGAAGGGAGATCATGAATAAAGTAGAATCTATAGGAAGAAGGGGGGGCTCAGACAGCATCAGCTAAATATATTTTTATGGATTTAGAAGTGATTATATTATATAGTTCAGACTTCGCAGGCTTAAATGAAATCCGCAACGACGTTGCAATGCCACTTCCTCAAACACCAATGCCACTTAGTCAGCGCTGCAGTGAAATCGGTCAAGCTAATAATTTAATAGAGTTCGGCATCCCGCACTAATATTGCAATTATTATGCACAGTAAACATCGAGCTAACTGTACATATACAAAATGAGCTATTTAAACAACTGCTTATGCATGTGCCTCTGTGAGATAGTACGCGTCGTTTATCGTAAAGGGCGCTGAGACTTTTTCGTTTTCTATTCAAGCATAGAGCACTCGTGTAAAGTGCTCAACGCGCGTCGGTACTCTGTTCTTAGGTTTCTCTAGGATTAGTATTAAGTAAATATTTTAATTTTACCAATACTAGTTAAAATGCTATCGATAAAATAAAAAAAAATAGTAGTCGATAATGGACATTTAATACAGTTTATAATTAATTTTACCTTTGTAAAATGCAATCAGTATTGCATCGGCATTTCTATAAAATAATTCCTCCTCCTTTATGCTGTAGTGTCGACAATAGAAGTCTTAACATAGACATAACTGATCCTTATGTTTTGCATTTCTTATTTAGATTATTTTATATTTCTCATTGTGGACCTCAATCAATTGCTCTTTGCGCAAATAATAACGTGCGTTGCAAATGATAGGTCAAAAATATGAAGTATGTAGAGAGCCAAACCTTCAAATAAAAAAAAAATCAAATTCGTCGGAATTCACTCGCGGAACCAATAAGACTTTACTCGCAACACTCAATGTGAAAGATACTAATACTCCGTCACCGCCGAAAATATTGCATTCGTATTTAGTTTTGATAAAATTATTGCAAACAATGCATGACAACTGTTAAGCAATATAAAATACACTAGATAATCGGTTGCGGAATGAATGGTTTTTCATTTGTGTAGATTATTGTTGCATAGAAGACTACCTATTGGAAATACAAGTATAGTTTTCGCACGTCTGATGCAAGATTTACATTTAAAAATGACTATTTTGATTATTATCTGCGAAACTAACTTCGTTCTGTTGCATAAACCCATTCTGAAAAATTATATCCCACAGCGCAAACATAAATACATACGCTGCATTAGTGCAAAGTCGACTTATTATTTGTCAACTTGTTGCTGTAGTCGACCCATTACTGGAGGCTATGACACCGATGCCAGAGGACCTTTCGTGCGGTGGCTCGAGTTCAGGACATATGGGGAATTACTGAGAGGGTATGCAACGCTTCTTAACGCAAGACAGTGTAGGCCCGGACTTTTTCAAAGTTCTGCGTTCAAATCGAGCCACCAAATCAAGTTCCCGTAGGATTCCTGTGTGTAGATAGTATAAGCACATAAACACTCATTTTATAGATTTTACCATTATTAGTATATCGGCTAGGCTAAACGGAAATTGAGATATATGCATCTTGTACCACTGCATTCACAATAAAAATTTGTCAGAAAAAGTTAGAGCGAGATTCAGCTTACAAAATACAAACGAATACGATGACGAAATAGGAATACGCAAACAGGAATGTTTGTAACATGGCACAGGTAAACAACGCTGTTTTACTTGACAAACTACAATAGATTATGTGTAACAGTATTTAAACTTTGGAAACGCTATTATTATGAAAGACGCTGCAAAAATGCGTGTTTGATTAATTTTGAGTTAAATTAGGACAACCAACATAAAGGTTGGGACGATTAAGATAGCTTTGATTCTATGATAACAAAAACTTATGAAAAACGGGGTTGCCCCATATGAATTTCAATTTGGAATCGCAGACTGCAATGATAAAAATAAAGCTGATAATGATATACTGTGGTAACAGTAACGTATTTTTTATTTTATGATTCAGGCGTATGTAAAAAGGTATGTAAGCTACGTATTACAAACAAAAAGCTCTTATACAAATAACTCAACTAAGGCCTCGGATATTCTCTGTTGATAAATAACTTTTCATTTCTGAATTTAAACGAATCTAGTGAAATAGTGTTATCACGTAATTTATTTGCATTAGATTTTTGGAAAGCAAGGCATCACACAAAGTGGCTCAAGGGTAGAAGAAGAGGTGTTCCTTTCTTGTTTTGACCCAATTATTGACCCAAGCCAAAAGTCAGAATGCAGTTTCTCCCACAAAGAAGCTCTTTCTAACGTTACGACTTACAAAGCTCATCTCTATGCACTTTAGATAAACGTGCATAGAGATGAGCTTCAGGACTTATTCAAACGCTATATAGTCATATTGTATGTTTAAAATTCAATACCCATATAAAGTAATCTATTTGCATTGTAAACATTGAAACATATTTACAAAAATGACATTGTTATGGGTCGATAAAATACTCGGACCTATGTAAGTCGTATCGTGAATTAAAAAACATGAGTACTACTCAGGGCTTCTACATGTAACAATAACAACGCACACATAATTACCATATCTCAAGTATTACCACCTTGAAAAAAATATAAATCTAAAAAAATTAGCGTAATGCTCTTCCAAAAACATCGAGCTGTAGAAAGCCTAATAAAATGTATACAATCACAAAGCAAAACTAAAGTTTATATAACTAAAGACATTTCAGTAAAAGAAATTAAAGACTAAAGAGATAAATTCAAAATTATCAAAGTAGGATACAATAACATCCTCTGTCTGAGGCTAAGCAAAATTGATAAAACGATTATTACAATCATAACGATTCGCATAGACGCTCATTTGTCGTACTTTTAAAAGAATGGGCAGAATGTAGTTTAAACGAGAGATTACAGAATACACAGCTAACAGCCAGAACAGTTAAAAAATAGGGCAAATTTCAGCAACGATTATCGAAGTAGAAGTAGAATTTCACGAATAAACATTTTTAATTCCATGCTATCAGGATACTCGGTGGCAAGGAAGGCAGGCTTGGCAGGTATATCAAAGCCCAGAATACTTCCAGCCTATTTCCAACTTGAAAATGCTGTGTTTAATAGTCTGTGTACATTTTCTGCCGTATTATAAGAACTAAGTTAGGCCATGGCAATATAAATTTAAACGACTGAAGTGCTAAACGAGAAACACAAAAGCATAAGATGGATCCAGATCAGAGCAGAAGACAAAGAATGTAAAGTCTGTCTGAGTTTTTGAGATTTTGCGAGAAAAAAAATTACAAATTACAATGACAAACGACTAAAAGGAAACTTAATTGTGACTTTGTACTTTGACCTGTGTACTTTATATACATATCATCGTGATAGCTTAGTGGGTTTTAACGTATCTACCTGGTAATTCATTTGTTGTTCATTTGATACTTATATAATGAATATAATTTATTAGATACTCCTTACTCTTGTTCTGTTTAGTACAAACTGATATATACTACAATCTTCTATTTATACTACAAACGCCTAGGTTCAAACCTAACCCACTTCATGTGTCCCTAAGTTTAGTACGCAAACGCGCTACGGTTGCCCCATAATGGGAATTTAGTAGATAACCAAGTAGTACTGCTTAGTCCCCGAATGTATCAGATTTACGGATGACGTCGAACAAACGAATGTTCGATTGACGTAGTCACAAGAAGTCACCAACCGACAAAATTTATTTCGAATACCCTAGAGTGGTCACACTGAGAAAATTCAGGACGTCGTTTGTGATTTCAGTACATGTGCGAGCCTTTACTTGCACACAATTCACAGACAACATAAATTAAAATTAACTTATTTTGTCTCATACATATCAAATCTGTGCCTCCCTTCATGAAGAGCAACGTACTAACATATTAGTACCCTGATAGTCAGTACTTAAATGTTTCATAAACAGAAAGGGTCAAATTAAGAGGATGAGCATTTGCATCCTATTCCTTATCTTTAACTGACTTAAAAATTTCTTCTAAAGTTTTTTTCTAGAGTAAATTTCTAGAGTAAATATTTCTTAAATTGACAAATAAAGTCACACCAGTTTTGACGGAAGTTCAGGTTTTCATACTTATTGGTTCTGAAGTAAACATTGCCAGTAATTGATCTCTTTTAACTTGGTTTTCTGTTCATATCACAACAATATCGAAGCGACGACCAGTAAGAATAAGACATACTTGATACCGATAAAAAGAAGTAACACATGTTTTCTAAGATATCGGGTATTATCGAAGCTACTCTTATAATCGGATGGGTTACGCAGAGTCTAAGCTACGAGGCAACTGATTTAGCACATCACGGTGTTGTTATGTGTGCTTGTTTCGACATGAAAGCCGAGGTGTCACCACTTTGGTTGAGGAGTGACCATTCTCTGCGTCTGACCACCGCAGTAAACCGACATAGCAGGCTTCATATCTTTTACTAAGGCAAAGAGGAAGGTCTCATCTACAAAACTCTTCCTTGAGTGTTCTAAATGTCTATCCATGAGAATACTTCTCACTGAGGCAAATTTTTCACCGACAATCGGGAGGTAACCGATGACTTCGAAAACTTGTGTCACTCTTTCGTACCACGTATATGTTATGGCTAACGGTCGCCATTTCAAATATTGGTTATGATATAAACACACAGCTAAAAAAAAATACTACTTAAATTTTGTCAATTTGGTTGTTGTTCTTCACAGCTGGAGTCTGTTTTGTTCAGCCTTTTGCTAACCCACAAAAGCAGAATGTTAGCACTACCCCAGAATGTACGATTTTCGGCCGTAAAAAGTTTTGAAGCACTTCCCGTAGAGATGAAAAAAACATCCATTAAATAGATGATTAAAGATCCATTAAACATCTTTATTAATTTATTACAGGAAATTTTATTCAAATAACTAATTGGAAATTATTATTTACAGAGGAACAAACTACCCTGTACAAACACATATTTTCAACTCATGTGGTATTTCATACACAATTGTATATTTCCGAAAAATAATATATACCGCAAATGCAATAAAATATTAAACATAGTTTCATAGATTAGAAATCTAGAGAAACCTCTTTATTCCGGTATGAGCTCTGCATAGAAAGCTTTTACCTACCTTAGTTACTTTTATCTGAGGGATTTCTATATAACAAGTGAGAGAAAAATAAGACAGTAACATAGTAATATACCTATACAACTCGGCGAGAAATAGCACTGAGGAAATATAGTACCACGAATAGCAACAACATTATCGAAAACTGTCTCCACGATTATGGCAACAAATTTGTCTCTAATACCATCGAACAAGCTGATCTGAATCTGCAGTTTCGTATACCAACTTTTAGATCACCTAGTGAATGCAGAAAGTAGGTTATTATACACGGCGCATAACCGTTAGTTATAGTCTCTGTAATTAGTGTAAGATGAAAATTTTAACGATCGCCACACTGATTTTGCTTATAGTCCCAGTCATCCATAATAATACTGGAGTATGAAAAGCATTAAATTAGATATTATGAATACGTTTTCGAAGATCTCAGCTGCTTGTACGAAGTGGAGGTCGCTGTAATAAATCAGACTTTCGCATTCAGAGATTCAGAAAAGTAAGGGCTAAGAATTGCGAAACAATGGCCCTTTGGGTTAAGGAGATCACCTCAAACAAATTAAATGACGAAATAGACTAAATCAGTAGGCCCCAGGGCATTAACTATTAGCTGGAAATCTTTCTGTAAAGGTTAGGATAATATCAAACAGAAAATTTAGAGTTTTAGGTTTACGCAAACATTCTTGCCATCATAGAAACTAGATTTTCGAGTAATTACATCTTAGAACTTGTAAAAAAACAAGCATAATTAAACCAAATACTTTCTGTTTTATTTATCACTGCTACTTATTTTTAATCAGTAACTCGATATAAAAGAAGATGAAAAAGCGAAACTACCTGTACGCATACACGGTCTCATTGCCACAGTCGTAATAGTGGTTCTCACGTAATTTCATGTATTTATTGAAGTGATGTCACTTTGTGATGACTCAGTTACCACATAACATATTTTAGTTTATTATATATGAAATAATGTTTCAACACCCCAACTATAGTGGTTTCTATCACTGTGTCATGAGCTATGGAACGTATTTTGTACTATGTACCGGAATTATGACGCAACTTACATGTTTGCCATACATTGTTAAAAGGATACTTATTGTATATAATAAATGGGATTGATTGAAACCCTTCATTACATTAAAGTTCTTGTTTCTTGACTTCCAGCCATTGACACTGCTACTTCCACCCGAATTTAGGCGATATCCTATTGACATTGCCTTGCTGTTCTAATTCAGGATTCAGGACTCTAGCACCTTTAGCAATTTTCATACTTTGTTCACGAAAAATGTTTAGGCACTTAGCCGTTTTCGGCACAGACTTAAATATTGTAAATAAAGTTACATATTGCAAATCGTATAGCGTATAAGAGTTTGTACCTAATTGTAAATCTTTTTTATCCCGCTTGCTTTCCCTTTAAGAAAGCCCACTAGAATACGTTTTGAACGTCATCTTTTAGTCATTAGCGTTCTATATGGTAGTATTATAAGTTGCTTGTATTTCTGCTTGTATTTTGTATCAGTGGCGCTCCTGTTGTCAAAAAAAAATATCCGTTAGACCGAGTTGACCGGGCTTTATTACCAACTCTGCTGCTTGCATGGTTCGGGCCAAATGATTCGCAGTTTATTACCCGTTCAAGGTGTCACTAAATATCAGGAAATGCGCTGACGATATTCGCGAGGTGCCGCTTCGTAATTCATAATCAACACCACTACGTTATAATGATGTTGGAAGCTCTAATAAAGCCATTGGTTCCAGCTCTTTCCTCTTCTGAGTCACCTTAACCACATACGGAAGGTTGCATACACCCAACTAATTTTCCACGTATCCATTGCGACCAACTCTTTTAATATTTCGTTATTCGCACACATTCCGAGACGGCGACTCCCGGGCGGAATTCACTTCAGAGGCAAATCTTCATATGTAAGTAACCCTGGTAACCGCGCCCTAGTTCTATACTTGTTTGTTCCTGGCTAAGTTTTATATGCTATCGTTGCCAGTAAAATTTAATGATTGTAATTAAGTATGATCGTTTATCGTTGATATAACTGCAGACTCTATCGAACAATGTTCCGGTACTTCGGTAATTGCTACCAGAAAAAGCATACAATGGAGGTGTGCGAAAAACCACAAGACGATCATGCTGCTTTTTCCTTTGCCTGCTTGTGCTTGGTTAATGAAACAGCGATGGTCGAATAGTTGTTCCATACTGGCGGTACAGTGTGGTCGAGTGCAAACTTGTTCTTTTAAAAACAAAATCTCTTCTTAAATAATCCAGCCATGTAAAGCCCGATCCTGACTGACTCAATTACTGTAGTGGGTATACCACAGTGGTGGTTGATAACAGTAATAACAATAATACCAACTCTATTTGGAAATTACTATAGAAGTATAATAAAATTACCATAACAAATGTTGTGTAATCATTTGAGACCTCTTCCGTCGCGAAAGTCATATATAAATACACTAAACTATTATTTTAATTGCATACACGCAATTATATGCAAACTGAGCAAGCGACGCTAGTTAATAGCTATTAGAAGTTTTAGCCTAGTTTAATGATATTACATATTTCTTTGGCTACGGAAAGCTTAATATCAAATATAAGGACACTTTCAACACAATGTCTTTTACGTGGCCATTATTTAGGATTCTTGGAGCAATACCATAGGCTACTAAAACAATCAAAGAGACGTATTGTTTTTTTGACATTTGTATGAGATTGATTGCGTTACGTTGTTTGTAAACACTTTGTAAACACGACACGTCCAACATTAGGCAATTCAGTAAGAAACATGCTACTTTGTAGCTAGAGATGCTACACATTTTTTTTTTGCAATTCGAAGTTAATTGATTCGCGCGCAGACTGCACCAAATCTAGTGGGTTGAGTTATGTAACCTCACGGAAACATAAATCCTCACCGCACGTCGTCAACTTAGCGCCCTCTAGTGATCAGAAATAGAAAAGTACGAGAGATCATAACAAAAACAAAACAGGCGAGCAGCAGCACTGACACTACCGCCGCTCCCACTACAACGACTACTATCAGTCGTCAGCACTGGTGGTAGTGCTGCACTAGACAAACAACAGACGAAAGTAAACCTTATTCGCCACCGTCACTACTTGTGCGGTAGATAACCATCGTTGTGGTATTGGTAGACATCAACTTGTCGCATCCTAAACAGGAGGAGAAGTAGCAGTGACTGCAACGAACATCATTAAAGCCTTCCGTAGAGCAGTCGAACGTGTTAGCAGGTGGACAAAGCCGGCTTTTTACCAAGACGTCGTCAGCAGAGAATGTTGCAGCAGTGAGTTGGTCAACTGAACCGAACACACAGATCAGGTAGGACGAGCCAGTGGTTGACTGATTGTAGCGCCTGGTGTCGGTGCAGTTGGGGGTCGCTGTGGCAGAAAGAACAAAAGACAAAGGCTCGGCCACCGCCGCCGCGATCGTCGTCGCCATCCTGCAAACTTCTCATCATAATCACAGTACGAATTCTACTGCTAACAATACTGTCTCAGAGCTTATTGGACGTATTAGAGTTGAATTGTGGCCATGGTGTGGTGCTCAGACACCGGTAATACGAGTCTGTGCTCTGCGCAGGGTGTCCTTTAATGTGGCCTCATTATTTGTGACTAGTGTTGAAGTCAATCGACGAGCCGTCTGCTCATTTAGTAGTTACCGGTGCAACTGACGCTGTCAATAACGGTAAGCAGTAATAGAGAAAACGGCGCTGCTGAAAAGTAAAGAACGAATTGAGAAGTCCGTAGATGACACTCATACAGTTAGTTGATGATTAATTACTGAATTTATTATTCGGCTTGATTATTCAGTCGGCATACGTGCCTGTAATGATAATAATCATAATATATTTAGAATTCCAATCGTAGTTCGAGTGATACTCGCGCGTGGCTATTCGTGGCTACGCTATTTCGGTCGTCATCGTCGTCGGGAGCCGTCATAGTTTCTTATTTTTTCTCCTGCCCTTCCTCCTCTTTTTCCGAGTGTCTTCTTCCGCTTTTTGCGTAGCGGCGAGGCAACCATACTGTCGTCCGCCTTCATACGCTTCAGTAGACTAACATATAAAATAGCCCCTAAAAAGGTGGTTCCATACACAGTAAAACATCCACCCTAGCATCGGTGCGTTAACGGGAAACTCAGTGATGACTGTTTTAAGGCGCGTGTATAGCCGGCGGGATTCTGGATACATTTATGTGACCATCTAACGTTCGTTTTGATTTTCTTTCTATTATTACAAGAAGGCGAATTGTTTCTGAATATTGAACATACTCATTTTTGCATTAGCCGAACATGTTGACTGCGCATTTAATAAATATGCACATGTGGCTGATGGACAGATTAGTTTAATGAAACTAGTTTAAGACATCATATTGTATTAATGGTATTTCTGGCATTTTTCACTTAATTGTTTCTGATACGATTATTCAATCTGTGTGTGCGCGACATCTGCCTGACAATTACGTGTACGATACTTAAAATGGTAAAAAAGCGAAAGTTTGCATTACCATTTCAAATTAAGTTCGCTAGATGATAAAGTTCACCATGTGATGCCTGTGGTACACTTTTTCAATTGAATCAAAAAGCTGCATCTGTTAACTGTTAAGTCCTAACGATCTATCTCTGATAGCAATAATAATATTTCATGTTATTAAATTGCGCAACGATACTGGTGGTTTAATTGCAGTGTTATTTATATGAATTTGGATACATCCGTTCTGACCGGCGCCTTCCCATATTATATTTTTGCTTTAATGCACGTATTAAGGTTATTAAAGACAAAGGAATAAAATTTTTGAGATACAAAATCGTCACGATCTGTATCAACCATTGTATTTGTACAGGAAGTTAAAATAGATAGTTAATTTTAAACTACCAAGGCATGGCCAACAAAATACAATTGAGTGTTCACATGTTTGATTATTTTAGTGTATTCTGAGCATAAATAAATCAGTGTTTGACATACAGTACTAAACTATATACAGCAGCCAATCTTCTGGCTAAGTCACAGGCAGAAGTTGCTTTTATTACTTTCTGGCAAATACGTAATAAGACGAAATTTTATATAGCACAGGGGATGATCATTTTTCGGTTGTCTTACTACGAAAATGACGATGTGAACAGAAAAAACAAGACCACGTAATTTTTTGGCAAGTTCAAATCGCATCTACTAATGCAGATCCTTCAAATCTCGGCAACAGCTTTTTCCTTTATCGAAATGAAGTATGAAACCCGTCTTATTCAATGGCTCAGGTTTTGAGTGCAAAAAGCTCTTGGACATCTTTCTCTAATAGACTATGCTTGGATGTAATTTTTCTCACAGCGTGTTCACTATGAGAGTTTTAGTGTGGTTACATTCGATAGCAAAAAACATCTATTTGCGTTTTGGTAATTGTCTAGATTCCTAGTAACCATGTTATATATATATATATATATATCAAAGGGGATGTTAAAGTCTTAGTTTCTACGACACATTTATTTAGAATGGATTTATTCTCAAAATAATAATATTTGAAAAGCGCATTTTACGGTTTAGAATTAAGAGCAACTCGCTTTGACATTTGACACAAGGGCAAATCTATTCAATCATTGGCTTTGTGTCATAGCTTAATCACAGATATTATCACGTATTTTATGTAATATTTTTTTGTTATTTGTATTAAATAATAGGTAAATGCATTCTACTCAGTCATATGTTGCCTCAACCTTGCGATAAGTTCAGAGAAACAAACAAGGTATTTTTTGTTCTGGAGTAGAATTATGTTTTACATTTACTCAAATGAATCATTACAGAGAATATTGACAGCTGTTTAGAACATAAATGCATTAAGTAAATCCTAGTTGTTGTTTTTAGTGTTTTGTGTACCTTTTTGGAATCAGATCAAGAACAAGTTGGTAAGTGTACTATCACAGAGTTACAAAAAACAAATAACTTGCGTGTACTTTAGGGTTAATATTTCTCGGGAATGGGGTTTCTCGAGAATTCTACCGTTTTATCTTTCATTTATTGTACCTAAAATAATAATGGTTGTTAAATATTTTATTTAAACAATATGTAGTGTAACATAAATGTGGTATAATTTTATAATATGCTTGTACAGTAGCTTTAGTAAACTTCATATGCATGATACATTTGTAGAATTGTTTACGGTCGAAGCCAAAGCTGGAACCTAAATATGTAAGTGAATATACAATAATGGCTTATAATACAAACATCTTCCCCCAGGCTACATTACAAGCCTGGGTCCGCGTCACTGCTACTAGTAGTACCTTATGGAAGCGGTTCGGTTCGTAGGATTGTATTTACTGGTTGACACACCTTATCATTTAACGTAATGTTCTCGGAGCATGCGATGCTGAAACATATCCCCGTAAGTTTAGCGTGGCGATTTGAGTTCAAAACCACGTATTGCCAGTAACTTAATATCGTCGGCAACGTATTTCTGATACCTTGCTAACTCGACAATTTCATTAAATGAGCCCAACGGATGCTCACGGGTACTTCTGTGTATGACATAAGGTAACGTGGTTTACGCAAAAAAAAAGCCGTTTGCCACTGATAATATCGTGTTGTCCTCTGACATTTGGTATAGAACCATTTTGTGACCTTCGGATAATCAGACGAGTCACATAGAATGTACGTGTAAACATTTTTTGGCCAAACTAATCTTTTGTGCAGCTGCTGTATTGATCAGTTGTAATTTGATTACGTTTACACTTCATTTAATTTTACTTTGGCCTTACTCCTTAGGTATAATTCCTACCCAAATGAGATGGCATTGAAACAATCTCTGCGATATCAAGTGCAGAGTCAGTTTCAGATTATGCAAATAATTTTGTTCGGCGCTGCGTTTTATCGCTGTTGCCTTTCAGTGAATTTTCGCTTCGCATAAAAACAAAGAGTTCCAATCAATTAAAACCATGAATGTTCATGTCATCATTGGACCTATTTTACGTTTCGCAATATGCTGTTTGTTTAATCAAGTAATGTCCTTGGCGGAGTTTTAACCGAAAACTTTTGCTCTTTTTTGAGCCATAAATTAGTCGTTCAAGCCACTGCGTTGATATATTCTATTAACTAATGCATTTTTTTAATATAAAGGCATTGTGAATTTTATACACTAGTCATCTTTCACTATAAAAAGGGTGGATCGCTGGTTTGGTGCTATAAAGCAAGTAACAAACAAGGTTAGAATAACCCTCGGCAAATATTATCCTGGATGGCTGGTTCAGCGTTGCTGGAAGGTGGTTTTCACTTAGCGGCAAACAAAGAAAGAGTCAGAGGAAGACAGCATCACATTGAGGAATGCCCATCTATCCACTATTTCATCCATTCATCTACTTACTTATTACTCCGTATCCATTTAATTAATTGGTGATGCTATCGCTTCGAGCGAACTATGTACAGATTTTCATTCTATACACTTTGCCGAGTTTGTTTTAGGAAAAGATGATTAGAAGTTCCGCGCAATGCGTTCAAACCTACTATGCGTTCTTTCTTCAAATAGGTCGAAACAAAAACATGCACACACTATTTATTTATTTAATGTAAAATCCATTCATCTTAATTATGCCGCCTATCTGGGGCCTAAACTGCTCATTAACCATTTTTTCTTATAATAATTTCATAATGTTTCTTCTTAACGTACAAACAATTTTCTAATAGTAGTTGTGAGTTAGGTGACACTGATAGGCGTAGAGTGGTGATAATATCAGGTAAATATGCTATAAAAAAATTCCAGCGGGATCAACATCCCAACGGCTTTAAATGGCCTAAAGATGAAAAACGCAAAAAGGCTAATCTTTGGGATTATCAAATCCGAGAGGCATATATATACTTTATATCGAATACGGTGGCTAATTTTTGTATCAAAAACTAAAGATATTCGGGAATGGACCCTTGGACAGTTCAGAGTTGTTGAACCCTCCAAATCTAAACCCCATTTTAGAATCCTCCGGTTTGCTTTATAGAAATTTTCCTCGGATTTTTCAGTAAGCACATATAGACTGGAAACAGCAGGACCTAACTCAAACAATAAGAAGGTTTTGAACTTTGGCACAGTTTTTGATAGAGCTGATCTCATTTTAAATTCCGATGATGATGCATTGTTTTTTATTGTAACTACGAGTTTACTCACATCCTCGTTGGAACAAGGTTTTTTCTGACAGTGCTAGTTTCGCATGAGCGCGTTTACGAAACTGTTAGCAATGAGTGGAAAAAGTTCAAAAAAAGTTAGTGGGCTCACTGGTTCGAATTCTTTATACGAGTATACACACATATACCCCATTAAACACTATAGGTTGAAAAGATACCAGACAGTCAGAAGGCACAAGTTAAAGGGGCAAAGAGCTCACGAAGGCTGTTGCAAGTGAACGGTCGCCTTTTTGCACATCTTGTATGTTGTAATGCCTTGTTTTACGAAACACTACTACATACAATTGCGACATACCTGGATATTAGGTTCTAAACACGAATGTTACAGTAATAAAAACGTGGCCTAAAATTGTCGTGTGAACATTTATAGTAGCTATCAACAGAATTTATGTCAGTTCTGTCGCTAATCGAGGTGTGATTGCGACTATCGTATGGTATTTTACGTTGCTAGAATTGTTTCGATATCATCAAGTTCATGTTCGACGTTTTTTTCTAACGTTCATAGTCTTCTGTGTGGATGTTTGTTCAGCTTTTCGACTGTCCAGTCGCTGTTTGATGAAGCTCACAGGAAAACAATGTTGTTTTTAACCTATTTAATGTCTAATTGATCTTTCGTTATTCAGCTTAAATATATATAAAGCTCCTAAAACATAAAATACTGCGCAAAATATTACGTGCTATGTGCCGGAAAAGGAATAATCAATCTAAATATTTCAGTCTCGTCTTTTAGCTTCGAGTCAGCTGAGCATCTGATTTAGCGCCATTAAAGTCCCTTCGAACCGAGCTTTATTTAGTCTTAGGCTCAATGCAACATTTGCTTGATTTTTATCGTCACTTTAGACAGCTTCGAGAGAACGTTGAAATTTGCGTTATTTTATGATATAATCATTCTGCTATCTCATTAATTACGCATACATGTTCAGTGTCATCGTTCACTCCCTTTCCTATGGCCGAGGCTCGAACCGAAGGCGACTGCTACCGTTGCAATAAGAAACTCTGTTGTTAATAAAGTACAACCAGCTATGACGAGCATAGTAATTTATGTGTAATGAGTATTATATGACCAAAATGTAAGTTATGACACTTGAATAAATAAATCAAAAAACGTATGGCTTTGAGATAGCGACAATGCTGACGGTTCGATGTAACAAACGTTTCCGTTTTCCTTAATTTAAATAGCGTGACCTCAATATGGCAGGACGACGCAGAGGAGGAAAATGGTGTGCTCGGATGGATAATGGATCGGCCAAAGCAAATAAGTCTGTGATTTTTTAGCCTCACAAGCGCTCTTATATTTAATGTAACAGAACTTTCGAATTCTGTGATAATTTTGATGCTCCATTCGTATGATTATGGAAGATGTCAACGGCTTCATAGATTTTTCAAACTGATCTTTTAATCTTCTATCAGAGCATATGGGATATGCACCATTTTGTAAAGGTCTTTAACCAATCCTAGTCGCTGTGTTTTTAACTTACGAAAAAAGTTGTAACACAAATTTTACGTAATGTATAACAACCGCTATGTTGGTTTCACCTATCAAAAATTACTTTTTTTTTTTCACTATTGAATATGATGCGTGAATACTTTAGGTACTTAGATTTTTACTTAGTTGTAAAGCTACATGGAGCGTTACGGAGCAAGGACAGACCACATTGAGCAGTCCACCCCTGAACAAGTTCCGTGCAGAAGATTCTGATATAGTTACCCGTAGCTCTTGAACAGTATTCTTTTATATAGTCTACTAGACTTAATACTGATTCTTCATCTGTGTAGAGAAGTAATGATTTTATTGTCCATACTAATAGCCGTAGTACGGTGTAATGCATGGACCTGCCGCTACCACGATGCAATTATTCATTTACCAACATGATCGTTTATTGGAGAACGCTTCTATATTTTATTTATTGTAAGTGTAACAGGTTGTAGGCAAATATATATTTGTAACTATAATATGCAATTTGATGGTGATGACGACGATGAATGATTTTTCAAACTTTCCTACAATGTAAGGATTGTGCTCTTTAGAGTTACGTTAAGATCTGCCTTCGTGTTATGATGCTGTATACGTAAACTAGTAGTAGTGGTATTATAATGATAGTGTGTGGAATCATACCAATCAATATTATTTGCTATACTGAATGTGCTGTAAAACAAGTTGGTTTTGAAAAACAAGTTGATTTAGGTAAATTATGTACTTATGTCATTATAAGATATATATTTTTCTAAGTAACTGTTATTGCGCTTAGGACTTGCAACTGGCAATCTAAGTTGGGCGAATTTGATGTGTTTGCATTAGTTGTTCATTACACTAGATGGAAATTACATTATCTGTCTTTAATCTGTGAAAAAGTACTATATATAACCAAGAAAATGTAATACGCTACTAACATCTGTTAATGCTCCCGGAGCAAAACTTGTTCGCCTAACGGCCACTGCACCTGTGCGATAGCTTTGGTCTATTTCCATTGTGCTGTTGCTCTTTCTTGTCTGTATATGTTCCTGTGATGAATGTTGCAATAATCATCCTGTCAGCTTAGTCTAATTTGTTAGCGGTAATCAAGGACCGGCTAAAATAATGTTATAAGCCAGCACATATCATCTCGAACTTTAAGTGCGAGACATTTATATTTTTAGACCTATGTTACGGCTACCGCTTAGAACGCGCATCAATCGGTTAAAAATGCCAGTATAGTAACTTACGTGTTTCACTACTAAGTGAAATGAAAGTTTGGAATTGACAAACCTGTTACAGACAGCGAGTATACCTAAAGTAATGCGTTGCTCTGTATCTGATACTTATCAATAATTTCTTTTAGAATAAACTGAGTATAGACTGAATTACTAACAGGTGATGGTCTAAATTCGCTGGTTTCTATTGCGCAGATAGAAAACGCTAGCTAAAGCCTAAAAGCATGGCAAGCTCCTATAAACTGGATCTACACATCTACTTACAAAAAAACCGGTGAATAGAATGAATCCAACTTTACATAATGAAGAGCTGTCAAGTGTAAAAAGTAGTCAACTCTGTGGTGAAATATACATTAGTAGTTACGAATTACAAGGATCACGTGGGTACCTTAATTTTAGTTTCTATGTGCCATTAAGAAATAAAGTGGTATTATAAAAATAAGGAAACGACTAACTTGACGCTTAGTATTTATTTAAGAAAGAGTCGTTGCGATTTTGCTTGAGCAGATTAAAACTTTATATTGACAGAAAGTAATTATTTTCAGGCTTTAGGTTGGCGGCGTTAAAAGCTAAGGCTATGGCTAACTGGTGTATCAAATCTAGAAACTGACCAAAAACTATATATTGTTTCAACAAACCAACTAATTAATATGGTAAATTTATAGGAATATTATAGTTTATACATAGATAGATATCTTTTTCGTACTACGAGCACCTTAGCTACTACTGTACTGCACGTTCAATGTCGTACTGTAGTGCATTTTCTTCTGCTTCAAAGACACCTGCATTACAACCAAGTCTTCTTGTGTTTGCGATTCGTATGTGAAGTTTTCAGATTCCAAGAAAATACACTTTTGTTTGCATAAGTGCATTTGGCTAGTTAGTTCTCGCTCCACATGACTATTCTCTATTCTATTTCATTGAAACATCGCCTATTCGATACCGTAAGAATTCCAATGATACATTCTAAAAATCTATATTTAAGAATCTCCTGCCTGCTCAGTTGGCTTAGGCTGCGGTTTGTTCTTATCCGTGTTTATCATTTGACGCCCAAGTTTATCGGAATAAGTGTTTCATCTCTCACCGTCGACTGCAACAAATCTGCTGCTGGCTAACGTAATCTGGTTAAAAACATCGAATACCGTATTTTAAAGATCATCTGTTAATAAGAGAAGTGCGACGTATAATGCGTTATTACTGTGATTGGATGAAATTAATAGCAATGCAACCCCTGCGAGTTGTCGACTACTGCGAACAAATGTGCAGTTAGTTTTGTTCAACTGATCACTATATGCAACACTGCTAAATTATTAACTAAAAAAATGATTAAACTAGGTAAAATACCTTTCTTTTTTGTGTAGCTTTGTGGGGAAAAAACAACTTCGGTGTAAGTATGCTACCAATTGTTAATACTTAACAAATGGTAGCATACTAATATTGCCCTTTGCTAAACATGCAAGTGCAGGACCGTATGTAATGATATTTACATAGTTGAGTAATTTGGCAAGAAATGTCAGGCCATTCACAACCGATTAGTCAAACCAAACCAGGTTACCGACGGAAAATGTCATTTACAAGTAGTGAATACATAAAACTGTAAGCCAAGATTAGATTTTAGCCCACGGCTCTCTTGTCAGAAAGTAGGCAATAAACCGATGCGTGAATTCAGCGTTTATTGAAGGAAACAACGGCGATAAAGTATGCGTGCAGGGAACTTAAAAAATTTTCTCAACTTCCATAAGTATTTAATTTAAGAAGTCAAGCAGGATCAGTTTCTACTGTATATTATGGCGTAAGGATGAATAGAATTAGCCGAATGAATAAGGGTAAACAATAAGAAGTCTTATTGGCTGCGACTGGTTTCGTCTCTTCTTTTTAAAGAATGTACAAGGGTGTACTTCTAGCGATACATCGCGCGAAACATTGGAGTGTTACTTCAGCAAGGGATAGGTTTAGTTAACCATTAAATTAATTGTTTGATCGTTCCATTACATTATTCCCAAACTTAGCAACACAAGTCTTTATATACGCCTTACAAACGCAAGTGGAAGGTTCAATCTAGAGTCGTAAAAATATGCGTCTTAAGGCCAAGTACAGGATTCTGTAAGGTCAAAACGGCCTCAGCTAAACTTATCTTATTATTCTTCAACAGTAGTTCTGATCGTAAATAGTATCCTATAAATATCTTATCTGCTCAGAAAAGGGACTTGAATCGTTAACAATTCGAAAAATTTACACAGAGACGACAGTTTGTATTCACCTAAACATTTAACTATGGAGAAATTAATGCATTGTTTGATGCATCATAGTACTTTTGCCTACATTTATCATACATTTTGCTAGAACTACTGTTGAAAACTGCACATTTTCAGATTCTTAATTTATAATCAAGAGTAGGGTAAGCTTTCTTAATTCTGGAAGTAGATTGTCTCAGAATTTTAATATAACAAGGCAATCATCAGGCTTGATTGCTATTTGTATACGACTTGAAAATAAAAATACCTACTGAGTAGTAAATTGTTTTTCATCAGGTAACCATCCGGTGCAATCTCAACTATTTATATGGGCGTAAATGTACGCATATTCAGGAACTGAATCAAAAGGAAAGAAAAATATACATTGCCACTAAGTGCAAGCGAAAACAAACTTTTCGTGGCTCTCGGTGGAGGTAATAATAATCGTCAAAATGTCGAGCAGCACCGCACAAGTAGCACAGCTTAGCCCCACGCAACAGGTATATATGCACGCACGTTAAATTCAAAACATTCGTAATAGATAAGCCGATCAAAGTTCGGGTTTAATTTGAAATCAAATTTATTCAGCGTAATTTCGAAGGTAGACTGCTAACTTTATAATAATGATAGTAAGGCTAATCGTTATTACATTTTCAGTTTTAATAAGGAACCCGATTCCACATACTAGACAGTGCAATTTTTTTACAGCTATAGCGTTTACTGTTTTAATAGAAATTTCCGATAGAAAATTTCAATTAAAATAATTTCGGCTTAACTCTTATCGTCACTTTTAGGTGGCCCTGGGTCTTCTGAAAGGGGTGAATATGATCTATGATGTGGTCACGTTACCACTTTACACCGCAATACAGGCTCCCTGGAAGCATTGGCAAGATAGCCGACAGGTGAGATATTTGGAAATTTCGAACAGAAATAGCAAGGCTGTGACAGTATTAAAAGGGTCTCTGTTTGGTGAAATCTTCTCTGGACTTTATACATTCCAGAGTAAGAAATAATGATAGATGTTATCTCTTATATCATTGGGGATGTGAATACACAGTACATATTATTCCTTAGACCTATTCTTCGTTATCTACATATGTACGAAAAGCTTAGAAGGAAAAAATGGTAACCAGAAAGGAAACTGGCCCTTCAAACATGCTGCTAAGAGTACAAGTTCTCGCCTTTACAATCTTCGTGCAATGGTCGTTGCATTATATGCTTGCGCAGATCGTTCACTAAACGCTTTTCCACATGATTTGTCAGATTTTTGCCCAGCCGACTATACCAGAAAACCCTCATTCACCGTGGGTACGCAAACAAGTTCATTCTTTGGGCAAGCTTAAGGACATTGAGACTGTCGACCAGCTCTTCAGAGTGGTAAGTGTGAGTCCGTTGCTCATGCAGTCGCATCTTAATGAAACTTGTAGTGATTCGTAGCTGGTTTTATGAGGTACAAGCAAAACGTCGTAATATACTCGCCCCCTATACAATGACACAAGTCGCTCGTATTTTCTTTAAGGCCATTCGTGAATTTCCGGACCACCCGGCGATGGGAACTCGCGAAATTTTCGGGGAGGAAGAAGAGAAACAGAAGGACGGAAAGGTAAACCGCTATTGGGGTTCGGTCATAATTTGCTTTTTATACTATCCATATATAATAAGTAAAAATTACGACAAACTCATTTTTGTCGTATCTGTTTACTACTGATAATTAATGGTTCAGATTTGGATAATTTATTTCCTGTTGCTTCTTAAACCTTGTAGTCAGTTAAATCGAAGCTCGCCGGCGAAATTACGATGGCATTATTCGCAGCTTTGTCTTAGTTCTGATGAACTTAATTAATTCTCCATTATAATTTTCAGGTGTTTAAAAAGTTGATTCTCGGCGAATACAAATGGATTACATATAAGGAAATGGACAAGTAAGGGTAATAGTTTATTTGTTAGAATAATGAGCTGTACGTATAGTAGTACATTGACGTGCACCAAGCCAGTGCTGTTATAAATAGAAAAATATTATTGCCATATTATGTAGCCACCTTCTTCTTTCGCCAGTTCGACATTAAGTATCCGTATATCCCCTGAGCAACTTCTGTTTACACTTTGTACTCTTTTGTGAACGTTATCCTTTTTTGTACTTTGGCTTATTATTATACGCGCTTGATGTAGGTGGCGTAGATGAAAATTTATTTTTCTTAGATCTGTCTTTTATTTTATTTTCTCGTATACTACTATGAAAACAAACTGCGTGAAAACCAGCATATTTAACGATATAATTCCTGTCTTGTTTTTCCTATCATAGAAAAATTGAGTTAATAGGCCGAGGTCTAATGTCGCTTGGAATTCGCCCGCGACAGAACATCGTAATCCTTGCGGAGACGCGTCAGGTACATATTACGCAAATAGAAAATTATATGTTCTAATTTTTTTATTCGAAACGGCTTAAGTTTATTGCACCAACTACCGTGTGGTTTATAAATACAACCTAAATCAAAAAATGCGAGTAAGTAGTCTCCGGCGGCCCACGAACGAACTTACTTGAAAAGTGTTGACGGTATTAAGCGATTTTTTCATGTAACAGGAATGGATGCTAACTGCACAAGCCTGTCTTCGTCTTAATATTCCTGTGGTTACACTATATGCTACACTTGGAGAGGAAGGCATCCTACATGGTTCGTATTTATCAATTCTAGCTACTTGAAGATTAGGGATATAAGTTAGGGCTACTGGCTTCTTTCGTCTCTACGTGCCTATACGTTTCATGTAAAAATCGTATCATAGATAAGAGAAAAGAAGGCCGAGTGTCAACTAATAATACCGGAAATAATCTCGAAAACTAAGTGTCTGACAATTAAGACATTTGACCGCAGTTGCGCATTTATTTCGAGGCATTTGTTTATGTGGCAGCTAAGGTAATTAGCATTTGTAGCATAATAGTGATAATTTACTATTTTAATGAAACTATACGAAGGAAAAACTCACGAGTCAAGCTTTGATTACCAACTATATTTTATATGACCGTTATTATTGGAACAGCTTTTATTAAATAGACATATCGAATTATATAATTTTGAACCGCTTAACCCGTAGGAATAAATGAGACGGAAGCAACGTTCTTGGTTACGTCGCAGGATCTTCTAGAGAAGATTGGCAAACTAATGCCGCGTATGCCGCTCCTCGAGACCGTCATCTACATGGAGAATCCGATCGTAAAGGTATACTTTTAGCTGTTCTGAAAATATACACTGTTTTTTCGTTAGTAGAATTCCATGATTGAAGTTTCGTATGAAAGTCTGATGTATTAATTTTGCTCATTCGTATGTTTTATATAAAATAGGTGAAACCAAATCCGATGGAAAAGATTAAATTGTACCCGTTTTCCAAACTCGAGATGCTTGGGCAGTCAGCCTCTGGAGATCTGAAAGGTAACCAACACTCTTGCCACAACTTTTACATCTTCCAATGAAGGAACAAAGGCTAATTTTCTCATGTCGGTTTTTTGGTAACGTTTAACAAGTAACGAATTTTAAGCAATACTGAATCGATACTCTTGCTAAAGCGAATTCAGCGCTTTTATTAGGCTTAGTTTGATTTGTGCTGCAACTGTACAAATACAACCTGTTAGGTGAAAACGAGACATTATTATAATGGCAAAGAATGCAGTAAAGGCTTGAACTTGCTAAAGATGCGATCATGCAAACAATTAGTGCGAAAACAAAATCAACCATTAGGGGAAGTTTGCACACGGGGATGATAATATTTATCTAGAATAAGACACATTTGAAAATGTGTCTTGAAAGTACAACAGTTCTGTGCAACTGTTTTAGGCGAGGTCCCGACAGCAGATGACATCGGCATTATTATGTACACATCAGGCTCGACCGGAGTTCCCAAAGGAGTAATGATTACTCAAGGAAACATCGTCGCAACAACAAAAGGCTTTTATCCAGTTGTTTCTTTTGTAAGTGTCCATGTAATGCCTACGTCATAACCGACTCTGATTCATACCTTTTAAGTAGTAGGTAGAGAATCTCGAAGCTGTTCATACTCTGCAAAACACTGCTAAGCACAAGCTACAAAGATCATAATGACACGTTGTTTCAATTACCCTAGGTGTGTCCAGAGGATACCTACATTGCTTACTTGCCCCTGGCCCATGTGCTAGAGCTGGCGTGTGAATCTCTTTCATTCGCATTAGGAGCCCGCATCGGCTATTCTTCGCCGTTAACCCTCACCGACAAATCAACTGGAATAAAAACTGGTGGCAAGGGCGACGCTACTTTGCTCAAGCCAACCATTATGGTCGCCGTGCCGCTTATCCTCGACAGGGTATGATAACAAAGGATTGCGTTTCAGCATTTGTTTGCTTACTCAGTTGGGAGAGCGACATACAATTAACGCCATAAACAAAATTATAGTATGTCATTTGTAGTGGTTATTATTAAAACGATTTATAAAAGTGGCCAAGATGCAAAACCAGTCATAGCAAAAAGAAGTGCGAATGACTGAATACCGTAAGAGTCATGGTCCATTCACATGAATGAACGTAAGTTTCACACTTTCTGTATTAACAGGTTCGCAAAAGCATTACAGAGGTTGCTGAAAGCAAAGGTATCTTTGCTAAGAACTTCTTCCACCATGTGATTGGCTATAAAACGCTGTGGCAGAAATTCGGATACGGAACTCCTATTTTAGATAAGCTGGTGTTTTCGAAAATGAAAGCACTCCTTGGCGGAGCACTGAAGGTAAAATCGCATAATCGAGTTATAGATGTCATGAATAATACTGTAAATTGCCACGTTACGTTTCAGTTGCAACTAATTTATTTGAGATAACAATTTGGTTCGACATCCATTGCAATCTCAATAGGTCGGTGTAGAAAGAAATTATGGACGTAATTTAAGTGATTGCAATGAAGACAAATGAACATGAATAAAAACATACGACCAGCTCATGGATATAAGATCCAAGCTAAGTAAGTGGCGCATGCGTTAAAAAAATGAACAAAAAAAAAACAATTTTATTATCTTATAACGATTGTTCCTGCACCGGTACGAGACAATGTGAACGTAAATTTATGCGTTCTACCCTTAACCGTTTCTATAGGTGATTCCCTGTGGATCTGCACCTCTTTCATCAGACACTCATGAATTCATCAAAGCAGCCCTCAGTTGCGATATCGTGCAAGGTTATGGCCTGACCGAGACTGCGGCTGGAGCTACCATAATGGAACGAAATGATAAAAGCTATGGTCGAGTCGGCGCTCCAATAACCGGCAACTACATCAAATTAGTCGACTGGGCTGAGGCAGGTTACCATGCCATCGATAAACCTAATCCCCGAGGAGAGATTGTGGTCGGCGGAATATCAGTCACTAAGGTATGCAAGCGCGTGCAAAGGCTGTTATTTGTCGTCGCCGGTTATGCTCTTTCCTAAAGGAGCGTATCATAAGATTGAGCTATTTAAGCTTCGTTAATAGGTTAATACATAGGTAATAACTGTCTGTAATAATTCTTTTAATCTAGTGTAGTAAAATATCAATAGCATTTGCCTAGAGCGATAGTTTCTGTCGTATCACATTGATGAAAGGTTTCTATTTTTGATAAAAAAAAAAAAACATTTCGGATTCACTTTATTTTATTCACCAATAAATAATTATGGATTATTCATCCCCTTTAATATTCTGTTGTGGTATCGTTCTCCTGCACAGTCGTAACGTAATCGAGATGGTATTTGCCACGTACGATTAAAGACATATGTCGCCTATATGCATCGGCTCTTGTGCCATTTACTAGATATTACGCTTTCTGCTGCGCCCACTCGGACTCTCCTCTAACGGTGACCTCTGCATACATATATACCTCATTTGTTTTTCTTATTGAATGCAACTCAAAGCTGAAAGGTGACTTACGTGGTACTAATATTCTTTTCTCTTAATATTTGATGCAAACCGCTTTCACTGTCTATATTTGATCTGATCTAAGATAACACCTATTACTGTTATATCATCAAAAACACCTATGTATTTTTCACGTTTATACGAGGACCCATAATCACCCGCTCGCTTCTTTTCACAGTTATTAACCCTAACAGCAAGATGTTTAGCATGCTAAAAGACACTGATCCTTTTCGAACCTATTGGCCACGTTTTTCAGCCTCTGATAACGGTATGCAAGAATAATCTATTACGTAAATTTTTGGCGCCACTTGAATTGAACTGATCTACAAATACGTCCTCCGGCTATGCCCTGTGTTCTGCTTTTTGAAATTCCCGGACACGAGTTCTACTTGTTTACTAAGCAAGCGCAAGATTTTGAGCAGGCTGATTTACTGAAAACTCGATAATAAAGACAAATAGACGTACCTATCAATTATTATCCTTCAAAAATAATTCAAACTAAGCCCCCTAAACCAGAAAAGTCCAGTGGGGTACCCTTTTATTAAGGACACTATTTCTGAACACAGCTACCGACTTCTGGATAGTCAAGTTCAAGTTCTTTCGACAGCTCTTTTGATCTCACTTAAAAACAAAAAAGAAGTGTAGAAAATGCTGCTTGACGAGACACACCACTTTAAAGACCAAACTCAGAGTAAATGCTTTTATTACAAGAAAGCAATGACAATGACGACGACGACGACGACGAAGACGTTGCAAAACAAAGCAAAAGCTTTTCTATCGATATGTGATACTCCGACGAAATATTGCCTTCAGCAAAAGTTAAAGATGGAAAGCGAAAAAACAATTAAAAAAAGTATAAACCTAATATTAGGTTGTTCAGTATGAAACGTTATATTTCACGACGACGTTATTTTTTAATGGTCTGATACTTTACTTTGGTTTTTGTGCTTGTATTATTTGAGATCTGACTCTGTTCACTGGAGTGTTGTCACTGTGGATTTTAGCGCATTGTAGAAAACTAGAGAATTTGAGTGGTTTACAAATGTAACTTCTATCTCGAAAAAGCGGCGGAGGAAGCTCGTCGTATATATATTATATTGAGTGAAAAGTTCTACTACTGGAAGCTTCGAGTCGTTGAATTACGAAGCTTTGAAGAGATTACTTTAAAGGATTATTTTAAATTAGAAGATGTGTTTTATGGAGAACCTCCTGTAAAATTAAATAACGGACCGGTAATAGAAGCCAGTCTATTTTCAAAGTACCCCAATGTTAGCCCTTAAATTTGGCATATGTAAAAAGTCCATATTTGGTAATTTCGGTCGAAATAAAAAAAATGGACCATGATTTGCCTCATGATTTGAGCGAAGTTCAAGAACGGAGACATAGGCATGCCTGTATCTCTAGACTTTTACGTTTTAGCAGTGACAAATTCTCCGCCGAATTGTGATTTGTGATAAAAAATTGATTTTTCACAATGATCGCAGACCGTCACATCAATGGATGATTGGAACTAATCTTGCGGGACATTACGCTAAAGAAAATGTAAGCTGAAAAGCGTAAGATGTGTCCTTCGTGGTCCAATGCAGGTAGAAGCTACTACAGCTTCATGAGTCCTGATTTGTCTGTTATGACCGAAGTATGACGCCAACAATCAAAGAATATGCTAACTTAATCAGAGGATAACTTCTCATTAAGCGGTTAACATTAGTGAACAAAGGTAAACAACTCCTATTGCTCAGCAATGCTCGATTTGACACGCAAAAATTCGGGAGATTCAGTTAAAGATTCTCGATCATTGCTTCCACAGATTACGATCGATGAGTTCGTCAAACACATTTAAATTTGAACATATCGGGATTCTCCTTTGAGATTTCATCGACTTTGATGTTCCAGCAGCCTTGCATAAACAGCGGGACAAGGAAGGTGCCATTCAGATAGTTAAAGGATATGGGTAATAGTGGTGCATAGTTTGATAGGAAATAACTAAGACTGTGAAAAAGTTACGTTTCACACTGAACGACCTCGTATATAGGTGATAAATGTTTTGGCCACTGGGTGGATAATGTAGTAAATTGCTTTTCTTATTTTTTTTTTTTATTAACATTGCAGGGGTATTATAAAAATGAGGCGTTAACGCAGGAATGTTTCCGTGAGGAAGGTGGAATCAGGTGGTTTTACACCGGAGATATCGGAGAAATGTTTCCAGATGGAACAATTAAAATCATAGATCGCAAGAAGGATCTTGTTAAGCTACAGTTTGGTGAATATATCTCGCTTGGAAAGGTGAGATTCAGATCTTTTTATTCATTATTGCAGGAAAATAATAGGCTGCGAGATGCATCTTGTCAAGCTGCAAGTTGACGAATATAGGTCATTTGGAAACGTGAAATATACATATTTACTCTTTGATTTCAAGCTACGCTTAGTTTATTTACAGCTGAAAAACGGAAGCAAATCGGTTGATCGGGCAAGGCTATCAGAACACGAAGCACTTCTCAGGCTAAAGGACCAATTTTGTTTGAAGATGTTTGGGCGCACCGTTGGTGTGAACAGAAAAATCAAAAGCTCGCAAGATCTGCCTGTAGGATCTTTTCTGGCAGCTTCACCCGATGCATTGATTTAGTTCAGTATTTTAGCACTTAACTAAGTGTGATTATCTAGTGATGTTGGTTTTTCTTTCATTTTACAGATCGAGACGGAATTAAAGACATGTCCTTTGGTGGAAAATATCTGTGTATACGCTAGTTCATTTCACACGTTCTTGGTCGCCTTAATAGCACCGAATCAAAAGGCCATTCAGGCTCTCGCCGTCACACTCAACAAAGATACTTCGGATTTCCGGCGACTCTATCGAGACCCAGATATTGTGAGAGCTGTAATTCAACAATTAGCCGAACATGGAAAAAAGGCCAACCTTAGCAAAACAGAGATTCCCACCAAGGTGAACAATATTACTGGTACTAATTACTGTAACTTCTAAATTAACTCAGATGAACTTTTGGTATAAAAATATTAGCATGGATGATAGAACAACCTAACCTAAACAAATTTCCAAAGGATGATTTCGCATAGTTATGCTAGTAATGGGCATGAACAGCATTAATAAAATATAATAGAGAGGCGATGAAAAATAAAACAATTGCTTACCCAACCGAATTGTTTCAATGGTATTAGAGAGGAATCCTTTATGAATTTTTAATCTATCTTTATATTGGCGTTTCCAGATTAAACTGTGCACAGAAGAGTGGCTGCCCGACACAGGACTGGTGACCGCGGCGTTTAAGATCCGTCGCAAGCAACTCCAGCAGTTCTATCAGGCAGACATTGACGACATGTACTCCCCCACTGGCAACGCCAAGAACACTTGGGGACTCAAGTTCTCGTACCCATCATAGATCCAGAGTCAGTTCAGTCAAGCTTCCGTCCTCACTTCTTTTCCCCTGGACGTGAATCAGACAACCACATTCAATGTCGAAGGAAAAAGCGACCAACCAACAAAACAGCTCTGCATACAGCACGATGTGTGTTTCTGTATGAAGAATGCGTGGTAGCGATGACGTTGCCGTTGACATTTCGGTGGACATTATACATGATCAAGATAAATAAGATAGCATTATCTGAACGATTTTTCACCAGTAAACTTTAAAAAGAAAAGGTATGGTACTCTTCAGAAGCTCGTTGTTACTTGAGGTCTCGCACGCGCGGGTTATCTCGAGTAAATAAGTACGCTGACGCATGACCAAGCAATTATTAGCTCTAAATGAGCGATAACTGCCTTTTCTTCACGCTTACTGCTTTCTGCGCAGAAGATAACAGAATATTTTCACTATTATAAGTGTGTTGAATTTACTATCGTCCGATGTTGTACCCTACGCCTATATGAATCTGGATTAAGAATTTCCGCAACAGTCATTCGAGTGTTACGCACATAAATATAGATATACA